TTATATAGCATATATATTACGTGTAAATAGTGTTACATTTTGTATTGGTAACTATTAAATTAAATATTTGTTTGAATGGGTAGAGCTTTCCAAAATTTATTAATTATATCTAAAATGGAATAAAGGATTCACAATTTATTTAGACACAAAAAATAAAACTTTAAATTACCGATATATTTTGTTATTCGCCCAAGCGTCAAGGAATATACGACGGATACAACAGTGCAGCCCAGGAAACCCCAGCTTCCAGCAGAGACACCGCGATCATAACGATGTAAAGCTGTCGAATTTTCGGCTGCTAGAGGATTACCATGATAGATTGATTGACCAACAAAATCAGTTAAGAAATAGGCGAATGAATTATATGATAGCCAACTAAAGAAGCTTGCTATCCACAAAATGAGTAACTCCTTTGGCATAGTTTTAGTAAAATAATAAGTCTGATACAGATGATTCCAATTACTTATCTCTTTTGCAGTAATTGCTTGTAGTTTATCATCAGTTAAGTTATCTGTTATTTCCATCTGATCTTTTTGTATAACAGTCGATTGGATAGAACTATATGCCTTACAGTCCTTAGCAAACATGTTCAAATCGTCGCTACTTTTTCTACTTGATGATTTATGGATTAATACATCAGTAGAGCCAATGATGGTATATGGAACTTCTGCATAGCTTGTCGTCGCAATCAGTATCACTACGATACCTATTGAAGCTATCAAAATGAAAGCTACTTCAATTTGTCCACCAAATATTTTTACTAGTGGCGTTTTCTTCCAATTAATCCTATATTTAAAAAACATGAGTATACTGCTAGCTTAGTAATTCGTTAACTAATATAGTCTATCAATGTAACTTTAACTTATTGCTATTATTTTATCAGGATAAGATAATCTTCGATATAAAGTAGACATCATCATCGTATCAAAGTTCTACTATTATATCGATATTAGATTGGAAGCTAACCCACTAATAGCAGTAGTAGTAGCAGCTCCAATGCCTGCTGAGCAAGTTATTAAACTGTTAGCAGTAACTTGCATATCAATCGGAGCAGCATCCATAACAAGAGCTCTAGCAGGCGCTAATAATATAGAGCAACATGACATCTCCATAATTAATCCAACGATAAGTATAATACGCCCTATTAATAAATGATGAGGCCATAGCTCAAGACCGATTATCCGACTAAAAGATATCATCCCAGCAGATGTTAAAACTAATATAAAGAAAATTATGATAAATGGTCGTCGTCTTCCAATCCGAGAAGTGCAACGATCAGATAAATTGCCAACGATTGGAATTAAAAAAAATCCGATTAAGGTTGCAAGAATCGAGGGAATTAGTGTTAGTCCAATAGGTATTCCTAGGCTTAATTGGGATGGTACGGCAAAGACATCAAAAAATGTATAGAAAGCTTCTGGAAAAAAAGATGCAAGTGCTAATGTAGCTAGTTTGATTAGGAGTCTCTTATCATGTTTTGAGATTGATTCCAATGCTTCTCTTCCATCTTCGATTCTATCCTGATTGCAGTTACTATCTATTTCATATGCTGTATCATCGTTTTTCTCGTCTCTAGATTGATCCATTAAATTTGAAGTTATAAGCAAATAATTGAAGTATCGGTCAAGCGATCTTGTTAGCTATGGCCGTAGATAAATATAAATGAAATTGGCTTATAGAAGATCGTATTTATAAAGATATAGAAAAACATCGTTAGCATGATGAGTAAATTGTTTATCATATGGACCACAATTGGGCAAACAGCTGTTACTTTACAGAAAATAATTACTTGAAGCTAAATAACAATCGATTTTTATTCGATTTAACGGAATACCCCCAAAAATGTCATTATGAAATACAATCTTTTACCTTAGATTTCATTATCTCCTATTTAAAATTTTAAAGTTTCGAACGAAGGTTAAAAACTAGAGTTAAGCCGTGACTTTATATTAATACAGTACCATAAATTAATTTATTTGAATCTGCAAGGTTACTGAATGTAATATATTTGAATTTTTGATATTATAAGATGAGCTAAATGTATAATTACGTTTAACCGTATAGATGAAGTAAACAACGTTTACCTAACTCATAAATCATGATATTTTTAGCCTTAGCAAGAAATATGTAAATTTTTATTTTTGATCCTGTTATGTTCTTCAATAATAAGTTCACTCCGTGAGTAAGATTGATAACTGCATTTTATTATTAGTTGATCGGTATTTATAGCTACACGAGGTTACACCTCGATACGATTACAGTTTACACTTCGCACTACAATTAGTAACTTATCAGTCCGCCTTTTACAATGTTATCACCTACTGTATTACAAGTACTACCATACAATCATCGTATACGTACATATATATAGTGTTTCCTTTATTTATGCCTTTATGGTTAAGATATCGTATTTAATCTATTACTATCTATATATATACAACAGATCCATCTATTTCCTAGTTTAGCTATTATCGACCGTCGTCTTATAGCCATACTTTTACAATCATTGACATATATTTAGTGCTATTTCAAAAACTTCTGTTACTAAATCAGTGCAAAAGGATCGTGAATTTGTTATGAGTATACGATATCCATGTAGAATGTATATAGAGCGAGTGATCGGTAAATATCTTTGCATAAATACAAATTCGCGTATAGCAACTCAAGTAGGAAAGATTATTTTCATCTATTTCGTAACACTGTCAACAGAGCTAAGAAGTTTACGTATCAGAAATTGTCAATTTCTTACAGCAAATTCATCGTACTATGTTAATCAACCGATACTATAATCTATTTTTACAATCCACATTTTCTATCCGTGATTTCATAAGTAGTAAAACTAATATCTGCAAAGTTAAAAACACTTCCTATTTGTAAATAATTTTAACACTATTTTGCCTACTATAATATAATTCACAATTTTTTATGAATTAAAATTTCTGAAGTTTAGCCTGAACTAGTAATTAATTACAACTAGAACTAAAAATAGCGTATTATCTTCATAGTAAGCAGCTGTCAATAAAACCAGTTTAGAACTTATTAATAGGTACACGATCTAAAAAGGCAGCAGCAATAGCACAACATAAAGCTGAAATACTAGACATAATCATCGGTGTAATGGGCGAATTGGTAGCATAAATGATAGCTCCAGTCACAAAAGCGACCAAAATTTGTGCAAGATACATGCATAGTAGTAGGATAGAAATGTCAATTCCAAATTCTCGATGTTCCCAACGTGAATCCTCTTCTTCCTATTGCCACAAAGAATTGAAATTTGTATTAAGAGTGAGTAAAATACGAGTTATAATGATGTATTAGACAGAAATATGCGGAATGAAAATAATTAGAATTAATAATTAAACATATCTACTAGTATCGTATGGTAAGGCTAAAACCCGAATCCCGGCTATTATGTATAATAGCCAGGATTCAGGTTTTAGCATATACGTGTATATTGATATATAACAAAATATAGTAAATACTCATGTTATGTATAGTATAATAATGGATTAGTTATTCTAGTGATATTCTATTCTTACCTTAAAGTATTTATGATATTCGCCTAGTAAAGCATAGGAAACACTATAGTTAATAGCAAAAGAAATGCCTTGAAAGGCGGCTAACGTAATAGCAGGTGCTACAGAATCTAAAGTGGTCATGATGCCTATTGCCAATCCTACAACGGCAAAGCTGCAACTAAATGTTACAGCTGGGCCTGCAATAAATATGCAATGTAGTGTTAGTCAATGTCGATAAAGAAAATAGCAGACTATTTAAAACGAAAACAGCTACTGAACTTCGTAGAGCTACGCAATTTTTGTTTATCCTACCGAATTGAATAATAATACTTTCTATCATAAACGAATAGATGACAGAGACAAGCATATAACCAATTAATCCCCATGACGCTGTCATAACCCCTTGTATGTAAAGATGGTGCGATGTAGAATTGATGGGTGCTGTAGGATCGCCATTATAAATTTCTTGACCGACATAGTCGGTGTAATAAATTAGGAAATTAAGGAAAGACGACCATCCAAGAAAGCAGGTTAAACTTAATTTACGTAATTCATGGGGCATGCCAATAATCGAACTATAGATTTCTTTTACTTTGAAATAGTGTGAATGATGAGCAGTGTAGCGTTGAAGTCGAATGATCGATGATGGATGAGAATGTTGCGAAAGAGAGAGAGAAATATCGGATTCGCCATCAGAGTAACTATCGTCAATGTTACTAGCTATACTACTTCGACTACCCTGATTAGTATGGCAGCCGGCATAGCTTAACTTTTCAGGCATACTAATTAAAGATGTTGCCATCATGATGGTCATCAAGATCAAACAGATCGTACCTACAGCTTGAAATTGACCACCAACAAATTTTCCTAGCGAATATTTCCAACTAATCCTATCAAGATAAACGTTAAAAATGATCAATTTAAGGTAAAGCAAGGGACTATAATAGAAAAAAGAATCTTTAGGCTGAGTATATATGCTATACAAGGAATTATAAGCTAATATCATGCTATTTTAATCGCTATCTCTTCCTAGAAAACGAAGGTTGATTAATCAAACAATTAAATAAATTCATCCTAGTAGTGGAGAAATTATTGTTAATGAAAACTAGACGAATTATTTGCACTTATAAAGACAGAGTTATAATATATCATCGGATATCAGCAATTATCTAGATCTATCTTTCAATAATCGCCTACGGTATCATTTTATATCTACGCGTATATCCAGCCGCAAAGCATTATAACCTCTGAATTTAGAATTGGCCTGAACTACAAAGTAAACATTTTTTCATATTCAAAACGTATCATCAACTTTCCCTAAATGCTTTTTGCATATAAATTGATATTCAGACTATTGGAAAATAGGCAAGAACTATTTAATTCTAAAATTCGATTCATATACGCGTATGTCATAATATCCTAAACTATGTGCTGTCGTAAGCATGAAACAATCAATCAGTATAATTTCATTACTTAGAGATATATGCGTCTTACTATTTAAGAAACGTATTAAATATAATTTCATTTTTCCTATTAAAAGTACCCGTTGATAGCATAGCACAAGATACCGCCATTAGCTGCCATAATTGTAAAGATGCTATTAGCCAATTGCTGAAAATGATCGGTGCTTGCATCCATTAGGTAAGCTCGCGATACGACTTCCAATGAGTTACGGAAGAAATCTAACAAAGTAAAGCCAACGAAGGCAAAGGCTATAGCCACTTTGCTATGATTAGAATCAATAGCATAGCCAATATTGGTGCTAAAAGCTGCTATTCCAAGACCTATTGACATCAACAGAAAGTAAATGATCATAAAAGGACGCCGGCGTCCCCAAGAAGAGGTACAAGTGTCTGATAAATAACCCAAGTAGGGCTGTATTAGAAAACCCAACAGTGGACTTATACACCATAAATAAGCTGCGAATTCTACTGGGACACCTAATTGTAGCAATGCTGGTATCGCATTAACGGCTTCAATAGCGAAAGAAAGCTCAATAACAGAACTAGAAGCCGATAGCATAACTAAGCGATAGCCAAAAAACTTGATAGTAGTCCCTTGATCTATCAATCGTTCTTCTTCATCATTTTCGACCATCTGAGATCGATTTCTGATGGCTTCCAATTTATTCCTTGTCAATCGATGGCTATTACAGTTAGATCGAGATTCCATTTTGTAGACAGATCACAGTCGTGCCAATTTTAACGTAGACAATGAAACTTTACTTTGATTAGAGTAAAATCAGCATTGGCATAGCGAATATCTTCGAACCGTTTGATTAAGCTTACCTGGAAATCTCTATTGGGGGTATTTGTACCTGATCATATATTATACATCACACAGGTATAAATAGATCAGTGATTAATATATCACGCAGAGCTTTAATGTAATCAATTTTTGTTTTCCTTTTGAATTATACATCACTAGATATGAAGAAGTATTACATAATTTTTACTTAGATATGACAACCTATTTCCTTTAGTGGTGCTATACCACGAGATCATGACATTAGATAATGATATTACTGCTAGAGAATATTAAGAGCAATGTGTCTGTTTAGCATTACTGATTAAGTCATTCAAATTTGGATAAGATTAAGCGCGTATGAATTATAAAATCACCGGCAGCTTGTATAATTAAAGGATTGCATTTCTATACAGGAATTAAAGCCTGCATCTTCACTAATGCTATATCATGATATTAGGAAATCAATACTGAAGGATCATTAAAAATAAGTTATGATATTACACTATTGAAGAAGATAACGGAAACTATACGGATTTACTTAACTAATTAATGATTAAAAATTTGCATGGATTTGAAGGATGTCATCCTTAGAAAACAACAGGAAACGTGCAGTATTATAGCAGCACGAACTATCATGTAGCAATAGTTCTATTTATACAACTTCATAATATCATTAGTCTAATAGAATTAGCGGATCGGCTTTAATTGCATGCTTTAATGGCATTAAAGCATTTGATCCCACACACTCAATTACTGCTTCCTCATGGTAATCGAGCATTAGCACGGACCACCAGAAGAATACCGGTACATTTCTAGCGATTCATGATATTAGTAGTAAGTTTCCATCACCTATTTGTCATTTTCTATTATAATCAGATAACCTTTTCGTTCTTGGGATATTATCAAGGCCAAGGTGATCAAGTTATTTTAGTTATTCTATCCTTATTATTATATACATAAATATCTGTAAATGATACAGTAGCTCTCTAAAAGTGCCTACATAAATAACTGAAGCCTAAATTAAATATAAAAAGAAGATTTCTTGTTTCTTCTTAGTACGACATTAAATAACATTCTGCAGTACTTTATATCAATGTTACCCTTCCAATCTTATTAAAAAATAAGCTTCAAATAATGCTAATCAAAAGGAGCAAGATAGAATAAGTTTAGGTAGTAATTTACTGCTCTCACACATATCGAACTGAATCCCATATCATTAGTCTAAAAGAAACAAAATCAATTTCTTGCTGTAACTGATAAACCCTAGATCTTTCTAATTGTTACAAAAAACTCGCTTTTTACGAAAGATATATGAAGTACTAAAAATTAATCCATATTCCTTATCTTAATATACCATGAAATGCATTTCTATTCGAGTTAAATAGATTCATATTGACCTCATAATGATTACCAGCTAATGCTCTTGTGCCATATGGCGGATGACCTATAGTATCGAAAATGGCATACCACCTGATAGATATAATTTAAATTCTTCTTGCACATTTCTTCGTAATCTGACGCCTTCTTTCAGAAAATAGCCCAACTAACTTAGATTACTTTTATCAGGTATTGGATTTTTCTTTTCAGCATTGCTAATAGCTTACAATTTCAGCTACATTTGTTGATTTTTTACGCAGTTTACATGGTGGGAACAGCGTATAAAATCAGCTGTCATCTCTGCATTCTGGTTTTGCGGCTTTAAACTGTCTATTGTCAATTAAGACGAGCTGGTGTGGACACATTTCATTTGGACACAGGCATAACGCAGAGTTGTGCTATATATCATGTTAGTTGATGCAATAGTAATTTCTTTATTAATCTCTTATTGATGCTTTATTAGCTGCTAGGGTAAGTTAAAAATTTTCGAGCTCCAATGGCTGTACTGTTCAGTGTACAGTACATTAAAAATTTGATATATTAGGTCCTTATTTGCAATCTGTTGCCTAACAGCTGTATATTAAGAGTAAATTATATTCTACCGTTAAAATATATGCGTACAGCTGCTGTTCGCAGGCCTTTTTAGACAAAATAATTATGATCTGTATTTGAATTGTATGCGTGTAATTTGCAATCTGCAGTCCTTTGGAGGAAAGACTTCTCCTATACGAAAATTATTCAATTCACGTTTTTAATATTATGGCTAAAAAAATCCTACATTTATATGATGTAGGTAACGATCTGCATCGTCTTATAATCACGAAGCTAACAATTGTTAGCATTTTTGTCAAATTTACCCTGCAAGTTTATTCCTCGTATGCCGTATCTTAAATACGATCAAATGGCTTTATTATATAGATATGGAGCAAGTAATATTTATTAATTTATTAATACAGCGACTTTCCGGTTTCACATTTATTGATGTTAACTCTATAACAGATTCTTGCTACTACAGTATGTCATTTAATGAATGAATTCTTGGATTTAATTACTGTTAATTGATAGAAATCTTTGAAGATGAAGTTACTAACGAACTATCTGTATTGAAAAGGTGTTCGCTTTATGAGATTCAGCCGGGTATATCGTAAATGAATAAAGAACTAATAGCACATAAAGCACTATAGCCACCCAGCAGACAGAACGATAGCCGATCTGGGAGAATGAGTAACTGCAATTAATACTCTACCGGCAAAGCTAATGATAATAAAGCATAACAGAGATGAATTTATAAGAATAGAGATATCTATTCCATAATCTCTCAAGAACCATCTTTTATCCCTTCGCTCCTACGTGAATAAGATATTAATGAAAAATAGGATCAACCTAAAATCATTCTGTTCATGATATGATCAATAGCGCAACTATTAATAAACTCTCATGATCAATGAAGCAGTTTTGTAGCAATATACTGTAGATCCAAAACAGCTAGCTTAGTGGATAAGAATATCAAAATAACTGGTCTAAATTATTGCATCTATAATACGTTAAGTAATACAATCATGACCGTACGATCATGATCAAGAAAGTTGTATTTTATAATATAAGTACTTATATATATCCAAATAGCAAGCTTAGTTAATATGATATCACTATGATCAGTTTAGATTATTGCATGTATAATATATCAAATAATACAATCATTAGCATGCGGTCATAATCAATAAAGTAGCTTTGTATAATATATCCTAAACGACTAGCTCAGGGACTAAGATATCAACATAATAAGTCTAAATTAATGCATTGATAATATGTATAGGAATGCAATCATTTACACACGTTCATGATCAACAAAGTATTTTTATGTAATATATCTAAAATAGCTAGCATAGGGACTAAGATATCAACATAATCAGTCTCAATTATTGCATCGACACTATATCCAGTAATGTAATCATTAAGATATGATCATGATCAACGAAGTAGTTTTGTGTAATATATCAAAAACAGCTAGTTTAGTGAACTAAATATTAGTATAATGAAACCTGGACGTTTAATCTATACTGTGTGAAGTAATGCCTTCATTAATTAATATATGGTCATGATTAACGAAGTAGTTTTGTATGATATATCTCCAAGGCAGCTACCTTAGTAAATAAGATTTCAATATAATTAGTCTAGTCATTTAATCTATAATATACCAAGTACGATAATTGTTAAATATAATGATGATGAATGAATTGATTGTATAATAATATCCAAAACCGCTAACTTAGACTGCTTTACCAACTTAAAGTAGCAGATGATATTGCTTAAATTTACAACGAAATATTCACGATACGAATCCAATATTGCAAATGGCAAAGTAAATATGGAAGCAAAGCCAACACCTTGCATACTAGCAAGACATATGACAGGTACAACGTTATCCAAGAAAGCCATGACTACGGTTGCGATACTGATAAGTAAAAATCCTACAGCATTGACATATTTAGCATCTATTAAATAAATTAAAATTACGCTATTGGAATTGCGAGTAAAAAGTTTATAAGATTGCTTATGATTAATTAAAGTTACGATTAAGGCATCATACAGCTGTGAGCAATGGATCAAGGTCTGTAATTGCTGGATCAAGGTCTGTAATTGCTGGATCAGATATACAAATTCTTTAATTGGTCGCTACTGTGATACTTTACTTTCTAGTCAGAAATTTACAAGGTAGGTTGATTTATTGCTTGACTGAAACTTAATTTCTAGAATGTCCATCGCTGGCATGCTTAATCCTATCAACATGTATTACTACAATATGGCACAGCTTATGGCCAGAATTAGGTTGCTACAGGAATATTAAACAATTTTTAATATCTATAATAAATTAAATTATTTTCAAATTGTAATTTTTACTTTCTCGGATATTCCACAACTAAGGAGTATTAGTCTACAGTACTGTAATCAAGTAAGATTAATTTAAAAATTTTAATTTTTTGGAATAAATGGCTTTGGTACGAAAGATATACTTACAATTTAAATGTCAGATTGGTCAGTAATATGCAGGAAAAGATCGAAATTCTAAATATAGCAATAGCTTAAAAGGTTAACTTACTACAATAAAAGCTCAATTGCCTCACTATGATGGAGTAAAGTGTAGTGGCAAGAGTGCACAGCGCTAAATCCCAACTGCCATATCTTACTCCGGCATTATAATGTTGTAAAGCTGTTGAATTTTCAGCTGCATTGGGATCACCTTTAAAGATAGATTGACCAATAAAATTTGTATAAAATACAGCGAATATAGAAAATTTTAACCAGCCTAATAGGCTCGTTATCGATAATACTACTGATTCTTTAGGCATGGTTTAAGTAACGTAATAAATTTGATAAAAAATATTCCAAGATCGAATTTCTTCAAGAGTTAATTTAGGCTTTGTTGATATCCGATTCGGTACTTCATCACATGAAAATTGATTGATAGTTAATGTTCTATCATCGGTATCGCCAACGGGTATTAAAAGTATTTCTTCCTCCTCATCCCTCTTGACAGAAATGAAGTCAGCAATATTATTAACCTTTAGTTCACTTCTTTCAAGTGGAACCTCTTTACAACTAATACATACGATAAAAATTATAAGAACTGCAACAAAAGTTATCACAACCAAAGAAATTTAAATTTGATCTCCAAATATTTTAGCAAATATTGTCGACTTCCAATTAATCCTATATTAGTTTTAAAATAAAAAAATGGAGTATAGTATTTATTACGCGTACGAATTCTCGCTAGCCTTTATTATAATAATAAGCAAATATTTATTGTCGCTAGTATGAGCATTGGAATAAATGTGATTCCTATAGAAGCCTACTACTAAAAAATCGAATAAAATATACGAGTAAAAGCAGCATACCCATAAACTACAAAGCCTACCAATCCTCCTATATCCGCTACGAATGTAATAATGCTATTAACAGTTGAATGCATATCGGCAGGAGTAACATCCATAACATAAGCTCTGGCTGGAATCATCATAAGCAATGAGTAGATGTAAGTAATAATTAAACCAGTAGTGACCATAACTTGTGCAAGCAATAAATGATGTGGCCGAATTAATAGGCCTATCGTTCGACCATAAGTCGACAGAGAGCCTCCAAAAATTGAAACGAAAAGGATACCATTAATAAAAGGTCTTCGTCGTCCAAATCGACTTGTGCATAGATCTGATGAATTGCAAACTAATGGTGAAGCAAAAAATCCAATAATAGAGACACAAGAAAATGGCGGAAAATTGAACTGGAATATGAGACATTAATTCTATAGGTATACAATAATTATCGAGAAAGGCAAAGTACATTTCAGCAACGGATACTGATGATGGTAGGAAAACAAGCTTGAATAAATTAGCTTGGCCGTCGCCAGAACTAGTATTTTTAGCAACATTTTGATTAATGCTATCGGTATTATTATTTAGTATATTCGTGCCAATATCTTCATATTCTTGGCCAGTTAAGTCTATGACTTCTTTCATTCTTAAATTACCCTCAAGTATATAGAATTGTAATAAGATTATCTAATCCTTAATGTCTAACTTTACCTTACTAAGAAATTAAATTCTATATCAACAACTGCTTAGTCTAACTAGTGCCGTAGTAAATCAGCAGGTGTACAGTTTATAGCAGTTCCGACAACGTTCTAGACAATAAATATATTTAATAAATCATATATTGAAAATATGAAAAATATAAATAGACATTAATAATACTTTTTGTTCATCTACTATTCTATTCAAAGTTGGTTAGACTTATATACGTTAGAAATTTTAGTCAATTTCCAGTAAAGAATCTATTTCAACTTTCATCAAGATTATCTCGCATACCGTATAGGACAAAAAAGGTAATGATGTACTGCATCAAGCAATAGCAAATTAAAACTTAAATACTGTAGTTTAATGTAGATTCTAGAGAATTGCTTTAGTGACTATAATCTATAATCATTTATAAGGTAAATATTTCAATCAATTATTATCATAGATTTCATATTTGTAATTATCTAGCCGTATGCTTCTGATGTCATAGCAATGTAATGATTAATACCTTAACTTTAAAATTCCAAGATAATTAAGTTTTAATGCTTACATTTTTCGTCAGAAATCATGCTGAGCTACAGTTGCGTCTCTCTGCTGTGGTAACTGCCAACTGCTATCATTACAAAAATGTCCTATTTTAGTTTAATTTTATTAATTTATACTACCCGTAGTATAAAACCTATACCACAAATTAGATATCATGCTCTTCAAGATGATTGAGTAAAAATTTGTCGCGTCCTTGATCGACTAGCTCGAATTAGTAGACAATTAGTGCATATTGAATGGCAAATGTACATTTTTACACCATATGATTTACTTGATGGGAATCCTTTAAATTGATGAATCTATATAAAATAGTGAATGGTGCCATTCCTATTTAACGATTCGTATTACAGCATACTACTTTACAAAGTATCTTGCTCATTATATATATGCAATTATTTTCCAATCCAGCTTTTCCAATCCTTAATGACACCTAGCAAGACTTCACCAATCCCCCAATGGATTATTTAGCATTACAGGTCGACCTATTCACGATTTTGAATCAAAGTGTTTTTTAATAAATTTAATTTAGCAATCCAGCTACAAACAGATTCAATTTTACTGCTTTGCTTATATTTTATCAATGTGCATAGCTTCGTAGGAAATCTAATCTATTACTACGAGAAAACAGTTCAGCTAATGCTACCGTAAACTTTACTTATCATGCAACTGATACAATTGCACTACCAATATTCTATCGATCAGGTCGGACATTTAACCTAGCTGGTATATATCCGTAAGATACGTACTCAATAGAACACTAAAATTTTGGATAAAAATAAAGAACTTCTGTTCTACTATAATATAACATTAATTCAAAGTATTTAGTTAGTTAAAATATACAAAAATTACAATTGATATACCGTAGTTGTTGGCATGCTTGCATACTGCATTCATTAATTAATTATTAATGAAAAGAGTTCAGTGCAACAACTACATCGTCATATCCATAAAATATATATGAGGAAGACACTAGTGTTAATCTACATTGTACGAGTATAAAAAAGTTGGGGTACACGATTTACATAATACTAAATAATCTCCTTCAATAACTGTTTGTATATACATTTATGAGTAATTAGTAATGTTATTTCGATCTACATGAAAAGTCACTAATCACAATACAGCTTTTAGCCTGATTGTTTGAGTTTATACCACAGTAGTCATAATAGCGTGGTCTTATTTGTAATAGAACCTGATAGTGATGCACACAAGGTTTGGATAATATATTACAAGTATAGGTAACACACTACGGTATTGGCAAACCTTAATCTCACAGTATACAATTTTTAGATTTACAATTAGACCGCTGAAGTAGTCCAAGTTATACCAACTATGATATTTAAAGGCAGTTATCATATTGATTACGAATCACTCGATGACTGATGGGCAAATGGAAACCATCATTCCAGTCAAACTTACAAATAGTAACAATTTTTGCGTGTACTAATCTATAAGTGCGTTGATGTTGAAGTGCATTGTCAATTAAAATTATCATGAGTACAATCCCAATCTGATTGCAAACTTAAGACAATAGTAGTCAGACAAGCTTAGAGCCATATCCTGCTGTGAATATGGCTATTTCCACAGTCTACAGTGCTATAGGTAAAACAAATATAGATCAAATTTCGTCTGCTAAAATATTGTCTTTAGAATGCTTAATCTGGATATCAATAAATCTCGGAGTAGTTTACTAATTCCTAATACTATATAACAGGTGGTTTAGAGTAGAAAGTACTGACAAGAGAGATTAAAATGTTTTCATTTAATTAAGAATAAGCAATGAATAGTGAACATCCATCCGTTGAAAGAGCTACAAATAATAAGAGCGCTATATTAGCTTTAATATACGGATCAAAAATAGTTTTAATGATGATATTTTCGACCAATGTGACATAAAATAAAGAATAGGATCATTAAACTTTTTCTCTTGATAATTTTAACAGCTACAGTAATTATTAATGACGAAAGCTTAAACGATTATTTTAATCGCTTCGCACAGACGACACCAAAATCAGTAGCATAAATCATTTCGATATGATGATCCAATAATCTTTAATTTTTTTCAAAAATTAAAGCAGGTGGTGACCAAACTGCTATGGCTTAATAGCAGTACTATTTGTTCTACATAGTTGAAACTACCATACAGGTGATAATATATTCTTTTACTACCAATTTTATTCCTGCCAGGAATCTTATATACTGGGTTCCAGTTACATTTAGAACAAGCAGCTAGCGTTAATGATGCTGGTTATATTAGTGCTATTCAATGAAAGGATGCGATAAAACTCTGCGTTAAGATTCTCTCTATAGATTATTACATTTATTTTAGTAGCTAAATAGAAGTTTCTTTTTGTAACATTTGCAATTTGGGTGATTTTGGTTCGCTTTCCGTCTCTTCGCATTCGGTTTTTGGCACCGAAGTTATTCCAATTGACATTAATCCGCTAGCTACATAGCAAACTCCACCAAATAAAACGGCTGCGTTTCTACTTCCAGCAGCCTCAATGATACCACCTACGCTGAATGCAACGACTAATTGAGCTACATAGAAGCAAGAATTTAATATAGCTGAATCGACGCCAAAACCTCTATCTTTCCATCGTGGGTCATTCTATGTGGCAATATAAATCATCATTAAAGCATGTTATTATAAGTATTTTATTAAATACGGTCAAGAAATTTGATAATATAGTCATTAGTGTGAAACCAACCTTGAAATAAACATGATATTCGCCTACTAAGGCATACGGTATGGAAAACATTGTAGCAAAATTGATGCCAACACTACAACCAATAGCAACAGCTAATGGAAGAGAAGTAATTTGTGACATTAAAATCACTAGACCACCGACACCTCCATATCCAAATAGTAACAAAATACGAGCACCTGTGTAAAAAGGAATTTATGTCTATGAGTATAAAATGTTTGTTCTACCGATCATAATATCTAAAATCCTTATTCTAAGTTGGAATACTTACTAACGTATCTTTCAATAACATCAAGAGCTAATGCATAGACTCCAGTAACAATAGCAAAGCCAACAAGAGCCCAACTACCTGTCTTCACACCAACTGTATATAATGCATATTCAGTAGTATTAGTTGCAGCTGTAGGATCTCCTTTATAGATTTCGATACCGATAAAATCGGTGTAGATAACAAAAAAAGTAATATAACCAGTCCATGATAGTGTGTTTATAAGGACTAAAACTAGTAATTCCTTCGGCAATCGAAAAAATCCATTATAAACAGAACGTAAGCAAGAAACAGATTTTTCTTTATTGTCTTTCTCTCCGTTTTCAGTAATGACTTTAACGTCTTGATCGTGATCGTTCTGTAAAGAAGGTTTATCATCTGTAACGTCTTGTTGACTTTTTAGCTGCTTTTGCTTGTTGGCTTTTGATAAAGGAATTTCGTGAACACTAAATAAGCAAACTATAAAAGCTATAGTAGATAATATGCCACTAATAAGAAAAACAAATTGAACGGATGTTATCGGAGTGGTACCATCCTGACGCCTAAATAACTCATCCCAATCGATAGCACAGATACAATAACCAACAGCATTAGCTAACCCCATTAAAATAGTGCAAATTCTATGAGCTCGTTGCTCTTGCCCTTCCGGTGTTACATCGTACAGATAAGCTCGAGCTGGGCCTTGACTTGTGTCTAAGCCATAATCAAGAATTCCATTGCCTACAATGATTAAAGCGATAGCTACACTAGTCTTACCGGGCAATATAGCCAATCCGATATCTCGACCGAAGCCGATTAGTAATAGACCGAGTAAAATGCCAATAGCAAAAGCTAAAATAAATGGTCGCCTTCTACCCCATTTTGATGTGCATCCATCTGACATGGATCCAATAAAAGGTTGGGTAATTAGGCCAACGATAGGACTAGAACACCAAACAAAAGTCAAGTAACGTAAAGGCATGCCCAACTGGGCTAAAATGGGTGTTACATAAGCCGATTGGGCACTATAGCCTACTCCAAGAGCAGCTGAAAAACAACATAGCATGACAATTTGATAAGGTTTAGCGTTGACTTTGATCGGGTCGTGACCATCTTCTGGATCGGAGATTTTCTCCTGATGGCTATTTCCTTCACCCATTTCATTGTGATCCATAATTACTGCCGGTTCAATGAAGAATTCCTACTTCAAAAGCAAAGCAAAACCACACACAATCTTTACTGCCCTCAACTCCCTGAACAGATCATCAACAGTAAGATGGAAGAAATAATCGATAACGCAAAAAGTGGATGCACTCGACTGAGATGGATAATCCAATTGAGGCAATATGTGTTTTTCCAATGGTAATACAATATGTAAGCAAGAAGTATTGCAATTTGGCTTCCCGATGCTCTAACCAATCACCTGGCTAATACACCAATAATCGACTGATAGTTATTATTGAATAACAATTTTACTGTATATTTATTTGTTCAGTAGAATCGAATCATGACAAAAGGTCACTGAACTACTCCAGTGTTTGCTACAGTAGCGATATACGTCATAATGTACATAGAGTACTGTATACAATGCAGTGTATATATATATATATATATATATATGTACACCCAGTATACATATATATATATAATATATATATACAGTATATATACATACAATATATATATATACATACAATATATATATATATATATATGTTTTGTCAATACTAGGATTGATTGGTCAAAGCTAGGATTTGACTAGCCCTTTTAGCCAATACTGCGACTGATTCATCAAAGCTAGGATTGATTAATGTATATTGTACAGCACAGTGTATACTGTAGTTGGAACTGGATTGGCCAAAGCTATTTGATTTGAGCATTTCAAGCTAGTTACTTCCATACTCTATGCATTTTGGAAGGGATGTGGTGTGCATTATGCTCTTTCGCCTGCCAGACTGCAACTACACAAATTATAACCTCATCTTCTGTCGTGTTGTACAAAGATAGCCGATAACCATCATGTATGACAACTGTGAGCGTAGAATCCATTTAGTAATCATGAGGCCACCCCAACTTATTCATATTGGGAAAATGGTGCAGGCGTAGCACAGCAAACCAGCAATCTTAACAATCTTTGCTGGAGATAATAGCTAGTTGATCCGGCTACCAATGAAACGTTGATGGCACGCCACCTAATCTCATAGGCTAGGATTAAAAACGTTTAAAATAAAACGTTGTTACTAGAAATAACAAGATGAACTTATTGGTTGAGCTGATGCATATCTATTATTTTACAGCATAACTTAGAACTGACAATTAGCCTCAAAGGATGGTCAAAATGTATTCAATAATAGCATATATTAGATAGGATAATTTTGATTCAGTTAACGTTATTTAATAATGAATTGAGTACCAGCTAAACTGTGACATAATAATTCAGCTGAAAGAATTCCTCAAGTGACATTGAATAGTAAATCCACGTACAGTATTATAATATGACTGATAATTTCTTAAATTTAAATAATCTATTTGACAAATTAATAGGCAAATTTATCCAATATATTCATGAGACACAAAACGATATCATTCATTATCAAGCATATTATACCATAGCTTATTTAGAACAAAAAGTATTTATAAGAAATGTATTGGAAATGTTTTAATTTAATTGAGAATAATATAAGCAATGACCAGTGATTATGCATACATTGAACACGCTAACAATGCAATAACATGGTTATACTGGTACAAACTTCAATATGGTGGTAAGATCTGAATAACTGAGATTCATAATATTCATATTTCACTAAGACAAAATTCAAAAGTCACTGCAAATTAATAATTTAGAATAGGCCATTGGTTTCATCTAAACTTCATTAGCAGTGGTGCAATCATTATTCCTATTTTCATCGACTGTAAAATCGTTGACTTCAATCTGTGATGGCTGTATTTGTAGTTTGGCGACAAAAAATAGCCTGAAAATCACTTATCACTAGTAGGAATTGCGATATTTGTAGTATCTCTAGTATCACTTGCTTCGATTATACTCCATGGAAGATCGTTCTACGATTTAAGTTGTTCAAGAATAGCTAAGGTCTTACCGTGAATATTAATTTATACCCTCACAAAATAGTGTTATATCCTTATAAAATCATGAATCAATTAAGATCCTTTATTATAAGTTACAAATTTATCGTCATAAATAGAATTATTGACGCAGTATAAAGTATGCGAGTTGTTATATGATTATATAGAATTACAATTCACCCTAAAGACTAAATGACATTGTCTAACTAGACCGCAGAGTGTAGAACTGATGATAGCAAAAGCTATACTAATCAATGTACCAGCAGCGATGACCAATAGTAGAAAATTAGCAAAATCCATAATAATAAGAAGAAATACTGTAATTATCTTATCAATAGAACTTCGCCAATCACTATGATTATTAAACGACTCCTAAAAATTATGTATACAGATATATTCACAGTTGATTTTACCTTTCAATCTATTGCAATAACTTGTATCATTAGTAAAACTTGAAAATGACTGAAATTATGCTGATCATACAGCGCCAGTCATTCTACTCATCGTCTCCAGATACAAAGTAAATGCTTATCCAAGCACAGATTTGAGGGGTACGGTAATCCCAACTTTCAGTTTTAACACTTCTCTCATAGAGTAAATAGTCTAGGCTGTAGAATTAAGTGGCGCTATGAGATGCCTCAAATATTTCAATTCCAACGAAATCGGTATAAAATATACTAAAACAAACATAACTTATTCAAGCCATGGAGTCTAATAAAAACCTAAAAAAGTTAATTCTTGCGACATTTTAAGAATTACATGCTGTAAAGTATGGGTACGTATACATTGTCTTTAGAACGATTAATCTGGACATCCGAACATCAATAAATATCCGAATACTTAGCCGTTTGCAATTATTAATTATAACACAAGTCGATTGAGTAGAAAGTATCAATAAGAAATATTAAAAGCATTTTGATTTTGTTGGGAATAAACGATAAGCAGTGACTATTCATCGATTAAAATTTAGAATGGTTAAAATCAGTGCATACCAGTAAATCGCGTATAAATATAATGATCCGATAATCTTCAATTTTTCAAAAATTAAAATAAATAGTGGTTAGACTGTTATGGCTTAATAGTAATTTATTGTATATGAAGCTAGCTAGTGATATAATCTTTTACTGATAATTTCATTCTTATTTAGATGGTATTATATCATGCTTTAAGTTACAGTCAGAAAAGCGGTTAGCATTAATGATGCAAGTTATATTAATGTTATTCAACGTTAGGATGCCATAAAGCTCGCGCTAGGATTCTTTCTTTAGTCTATTACGTTTATTCCAGTAGCTAAATAGATGTTACTTGTTGCATAACTTTTAGCTTTGGTGATTTTGGTTCACTTTCTGCCTCGTCGCAATCGGATTTTGGTAACACACTTACTGCTATTGACGTTAATCCGCTAGCTACATAGCAAATTCCACTAAATAAAATGGCGGCATTTCTACTTCCAGCAGCCTCAATAATAGCACCTACGCCGAATGCAACGATTAATTGAGCGACGTAAATGCAAGAATTTAGCATAGCTGAATCAAAACCAAAGCCTCTACTTTTCCATCGTGGATCATTCTGTAATACAATATCATGTAATCAGTTAAGGTATTTTTATGATACCGCTGCATTGAAATACAGTATATTAACAAATTGTATATATCAGTCACTAGTACGCTAACCGACCTTGAAATAAACATGATATTCGCCTACTAAGGCATACGGTATGGAAAACATTGTAGCAAAACTGATACCTAGACTACAACTGATAGTTACAGCTAATGGAAGAGAATTTATTTGAGACATTAAAATTATTAGACCACCGACACCTCCGTATCCCAACAGTAACAGAATACGCACACCTATAAAAAAAGATTTCATATTTATGAGTATAAGATGTTTATTCTACTGATCATAATATTTAAAATTTTTATTCTGACTTGGAATACTTACTAACGTATCTTTCGATAATTTCAAGAGATAATGCATAAACTCCAGTCATAGCAGCATAACCAACAAGAGCCCAACTACCTGTCTTCACACCAGCAGTATATAATGCGTACTCAGTAGTATTAACTGCAGCGGTTGGATCTCCATTATAGATCACGATACCAATATAATCGGTGTAGATAAGAATAAAAGTCATGAAACCAGTCCATGATAGTGTATTCATAATGACTAAAACCAGTAATTCCTTAGGCAATTGGACAAATCCATTATAAACAGAACGTAAGCAAGAAACGGGTTGCTCATTACAGTCATTCTCTTCGTTTTCAGTAATGACTTTGACGTCATTATCCTGTGCAGTAGGTCGATTATCTGCAATGTCTTGTTCCCTTTTTATCTGCTTTTGCTTGTCGACTTTTGATAAAGGAATTTCGCGAACACTAAATATGCAAACTATAAAGGCTATGGTAGACAAGATGCCACTAAGAAGGAAAACAAATTGAACGGATGTTATCGGAACAGTTCCATCATCGCGCGTAAATAACTCATCCCAATCGATAGCACAGATACAAAAACCAACAACATTGGCTAAACCCATTAAAATAGTACAGATTCTATGAGCTCGTTGTTCTTGCCCTTCTGGTGTTACATCGCATAGATAGGCTCGAGCTGGGCTTTGACTTGCATCTGAACTATAATCAAGAATTCCATTGCCTATAAGAACTAAAGCGATTGCTACGCTTGTCTTACCGGGCAATATAGCTAATCCGATATCTTTACCGAAGCCTAGTAGTAGTAGACCAATCAAAGTGCCGATAGCAAAAGCTAAAATAAATGGTCGCCTTCTACCCCATCTTGAGGTGCATCCGTCTGACATGGATCCAATAAAAGGTTGGGTAATCAGACCAACGATAGGGCTGAAACTCCAAACATAAGTCAAGTAACGTACAGGCATGCCTAATTCAGCTAAAATAGGTGTTACATAAGCAGATTGGGCACTATAGCCTATTCCAATAGCCACTGAAAAACTACACAGCATGACAATTTGATAAGGTTTAGCGTTAGCTTTGATCGGGTGATGATCATTTTCTGGACTGAACATTTTCTCCTGAGGGTTATTTCCATTCCAATTTTCATCGGCACCCATTATTATTATAAACTGAATGAAGAATTGCTACTCTAGAAATAAAGCAATGCCATATATAGTCTTTACGGCCGGGAAGTTCCTAAGTAAATCGTCGACTGTTGTATGTAAAAATGATTGAAGCCTCCCCCAAGTAGATGTCTTCAACTACTGCAAGTTGGATAGTCTCACTCCGATCTATCGCTAGGTGGCAATTTACAATCACGAACTACGCCCAATTGATGTAATTACGAGTATAATATGATCTTTGATATTGTTACTCTAGCAATTCCATCAGCCCGGCTGATTCACCTACGATCGACAAGAAAGAAATTAAATCACAATAAAAAGGCTAGTGCACTACTGTAAATTGTTTACTCTACTGTTTCGTACAGTAGGTAAAATGCGCTATAGTGTGCTACAGTATATTGCAGTGATATTATTGAATGATCAAGGCTTTATTTCATTCAAATATTGTAGGAATAGCTTCCAAACTCTGTATTTTTGATGGGACGCCATGGGCAGTATGGTATAAACAGTAACTGTACAGCACACTGTCTATGCTGTAATTGTCTGAAACTGCAGGACACCACACAAATTACAACCTGGTCTCCTTCTCTCGTGCAGTAGAACTCTAAAATCTGTACATCATTCATATTGAAAGGACGGTATTGGCATACTACAGCCGACTGTAATATCGTCGCTTAATCGCAGTTAATTAATAGAAGGTAGTTGCCATGGCACCACGCCCAGGCTCGGATTAACCGTATAAAATATCGTCTACCAATACAATAAAACGTTTAGTAAAATATCGCTACTACAAACCAATAAGCCAGACTAATTCGCCGAACTGATACATATCTGTTATTTTGTAGTACAGTACAATAAAAAACTAATATATCAGTCTTAAAGGATTGTCAGACTATTTCGTTGAGCTGATACATATCTACTATTTTCGGTATACGTCGTAAGTTAGAACTAACAATTAGCCTCAGAAGATTGTCAAAACATGCGCGGTATTAGCACATAGTAAGTATGATATTATAATGGCTTTAATCAAAGTTATTTAATAGTACTATACATTGGTCAACAATAAAACTTTTACGTAAATAATTTACTTGAAAGAGTTCAGGTAACAGAGAATAGCAAATCTGCGTAAAATTAGGGACTTTTAAGCCAATTTCCTCTTAGAAGTCCTGATACAATGTAATAAAATGGCTGACAATTCCTTAAATTTTAGATAAATAATTATAATACATCAGATAAACAGGCAAATGTATCCAATAATATTCAAAAATAAAGTTTAAAGAACTTATAAGAACAGCAACACTGCAGTATTCATACAGGTAGTAGATGGTGAAATGTGATAACTGCTTGCAAGCATGCTCATCATCACTTCATTTCAATCATAAATTATAGACCCATATCATTTACTAATTATGTCGATAAAAATCATAAAAATTTTTCAGTCAACATACATTTATAAGTAAGTCAGGTCGCTTTGCCCAAATAATTGCCATTTATAATATTTATGCGCTTATTTCATTCAGATAAAAAATTCCATTTCAACGGTGATTGCAAATAAATAATTTACAGTTTAACAAATTCGATAGTACTTTCTTAAAAATAGAAGGTAATTCGTAAAGGGATTGATATTGAACCATTGGTTAAATCTAAACTACACCAACAGTGGTGCAATCATTGTTCCTATTTTCATTGGCGGTGAAATCATTGAGTTCAACTTGTGATGGCTTTGTCTGTGGCTCAACAACAAATATGGATAGAAAAGCACATGTCAGTAGGCATCCACCCATCGTCATCGCTGCAGCATCTCTAGTACCACTTGCTTCGACTATAGCGCCAACACAAAATGATACCGTTAATTGTCCAGCATACATACAACTATTTAAGATAGCAGAATCGATACCAAAACCCCTGGTACTCCATCGAGGATCATCCTACAATTTAATTTGACAAAGAATAGTTAACGTCATACTGTACATATTATTTCATACACATCTATAAAATAGTATTCCATCCCAATAAGATTGTCAATCCATCTAAATTTTTATCATAGTAGTTTATTCTAAGCTCGTTACAATCGATAGAATTAGGGCACAGCATATAGTGTACGAGTTGTTATGTCATTTACCTTAAAAGCTGCATGATATTGTCCAACTAGACCAAAGGGTATAGAATAGATGATAGCAAAAACGATACCAGTCAATGTACCAGCAGCAATGACAAATGGTAAAACTTTAACAAAAGCCATAATAAATAATAATAATCCCACCAATGAGAATCCGCCAATCATTATTAAACGACTTCCTAAAAGTTTATGTACACGAATATCAGTATATATAACAAACAGTTGGCTTAACTTTTCAATCTACAGCCATATATTGATTGTATCGCTCGTTAAAAATTTGAAAATGATTCAAATTATACTAATCATACCAGTCACTCTACATATCCTCTCCAGACACAAGGCAAATGCTCCTCCAAAAGCAGATTGACCGAGTAATCCCCAACTTCCAATTTTAACACCTCTCTGATAGAGTAAATAGTCAGTAGAATTCAATGGTGCAGTGGGATTGCCCTTGAATACTTCGATTCCAACGAAATCGGTATAAAATACACTAAAACAAACATAACCTATCCATGCTATGGAGTCTAATAAGCATAAAATGGCAAATTCTCTTGGCATTTTTGTAACAGCATAAAAGACTGCTTTTATATGTGAACGACTAGGATTGGCTTGTATTTCTCTACCAGTTTGGTCTTCATGGATGACAATATCATTTGAATGTTGCGATTGGGCATGTTGGCTAGTATCCTGCAATTGGATTTCCTTGCTTCCGGTTGCAGCATCGAGTCGATGTTGTTGTGTTTGTATAAATGGGACTTCCTTGACACTGAATAAAGATACAATATAAAACAAACAAACCAAGACTGCGGTTAAGATGAATACTGAATGAGCTTGATCAAAGATAACTTGACCAAAGGCGAAATTCCATTCAATTCCACATATTAAATAGCCAGCAATAGCACCAACAGAGGCAAAAATAGCAGCCAATCTTTGAAACTTGTGCTCCTGATTTTGCGGAGTTACATCAAAGAGGTAAGCACGACAAGGTACACCTGATGAATCTAATGAATAATCTAATATCCCGTTGCCAATCAAAGTGAAGGCGATTGCAAAGGATAAACTATTGGACGACACTAATAAGCCCAAGTCTTTACCAAACGCTGTTGCTAATAGACCGATCAAGATACCAATAGCCATGGCAACCATGAATGGCCGTCGTCTCCCCCATGGACATGTACACGAATCCGACCATGATCCTATCACTGGCTGCGTCAATAACCCTAGTATTGGGCTAATGGCCCAAGCTAACGTTAAATAGCGTAATGGAATTCCTAAACCAGCTAAGATTGGAGTAACATAAGCCGCTTGAACACCATAAGCAAGTTCTGTTCCTGTATACGCACAACATAACATAATAATCTGGTAAGGTCTTACCCTGCCACCATGTTGTTGATCATCATCGGCTTTCATGACGTCGCTGTCAATGTAACGTCGGTGTTGACTGTCGTCCGCTGATGCTTCAGCACCGTTGATGAAACTTGCAATTTTCATACTGTGTCCTATTGGCTGTGGAGAGAGACGGATGAGTGTGGTCAACCCTTTGGTGGGTCAGGTCACTTCATCCAATGAAAATAATCCACTGGTCAGCAGTCAACGTTGGGCGTTTCAATCGATCTTGATACTGACTTTGCTGCAGCAGCAAGAGACTGTCATTCAATGAGTACCTTTACTACCAAAGGCTATTGGTGCTGGTCGACCGAGGTAGGGAGTGCACTAGATGATCAACAATTGCAAACACTAGTGTATATGAAAGTAATGAGTGCTACTGCCGTACTGCGGTTGATATTGCCTTGATCAGGTGTAGTAAAACAGTTGACTGATGCTGCAACTTGAGACTTGACAGGTTGTAATTGAAATTGGTCATTTACCTTGACTTATATACAGTACAGTACAATACCAGTATAGTCATGATTACATGAATGAACATTGAAATGATGAAATTTGATGTAATACTGGTCACTAGAGCACGGTGTACAGTTCGCAGTACTGTAGCAGTACAGTACTGTACACTTTACACTCTACAGTACTCTACAGTACAGTACAGTACTGTACTCTACAGTACTCTACAACTGTACTGTACTGTAAGTAGAAGTGCAGGGATTCTGTGTTTGACCAACGGACGTGCAGACGGACCCCATTAAAACGCCCATACGTCCAAAACATGGCCTACATTAGCAATTTCTAGCAGTCCATGATTCAGATATATAAAATAATACCAGTTGTATATGCAATTCCTATTTTAAGTCAGCTTTTAATAGGTCATTATAAGATGTGGACAATTCTCCATTACAGAAGGCTGTGAACAATCAGTTTCGAACGGATATCTGGACAGCTGATCTGCATTTTCAATCATTCGTTGAAAAGTCATAGTTGACGTCATTCGATTGCGTATCATGATGCTCTTTATTAGTGCATAAGGTAGAAGGGATTAGGTCATTACTGATTGAGCAGTCAACAGGAATGACATGCAGAAAAATTGGAATTTACATTGTCATTAATAGATAAATAGCTGAAGACTTTACTCATGCAGATGCTAGGATAATAATTCATTGAACTTTTATCTTTAACCACATTCTCATGCAGAGTAAACAACATTGCAATAAATTACTAATGAAATGAACTACTACACTACATGCAAGGTATTGTTTAGGCAAGCTGATTTACCAAAGTAATATGAAACATACAAAGCTGAATAAAATTATCAATTTAGGTAAGCTATCCAAAATGAATTATTGAATGTGTTAAGTCATAACAAACTGGGTATTTAAGGGGTAGAGTAAATAAAAGCCAAATTTTTTTTAATCAACTTCGCCAATACTGGACGTATTACCAAATGTGTCTTTTAATTCATACTATATAATAGATAAATCATTCGAGTAGGATTTGCAACCATTTCCAAACCATGAAAGAGTTGTTAAAATCAACTGTACTTCAAATCTAAAGAACCCATCATAAAAAATGAAATCCATAATATTCAAATTGATTAATTTTATGATTCAGCTTCAGATGGGCCAGTCTGGGAAGAAATACCGCACAATTGATGTTTTCTGCCTGTTTTCACGGTAGCCGCTACTGCTACACCAAATGTGGCTATATTAAATACAAGAATTGTAGCCATCATAGCAACTCCGCGTACTAGAAGGCCGGAAGATGGATTTAAACGCAAATAGGCAATAAACTCCACAATTGTCAATACTGCACATTCAACGGAAAAGCTGGCAGACAAGACTGATCTCACAACAAATGAAATTTCCTAAATGTACAATGACAAAAATTAAAAGTATCGTTTATATCATGATAATTTTACATTACGCAATTTACGAATACAAAATGAACACCAATTTACAGCAGACTGCCTAAATAATTTTGGTAATTATGCGACATTAACGATCCAATTCGTAATAGAAATATCGAAAGGCAGTACTTACAAAATGTTTAACGTCCCTAGAGTCCATACCTAACTCTCCATTTAACAGCAACTATTTCATGACATAATAAGCAAATTGCAATTAGACTATATACGTAGATGATCGTAACACAAAATTAATTACTAAATATTTGAACGATAGCCCGTTATGAAATGAAATTAATTTAGTAGGGTAAATTTCAATATGTATATTTTACTTACTACCATGATTAACACTTACCACGCATGCAACGAAAAATCCAACAATTGTAAAATAGCGAGCTGCAAACAAAACTAATCCAACCGCTGCTACAATAGCATATACTACTCCTAATACCACCATTGTCACACCAAATATAAACTCCATATCTTTGACATTAAAGTTACAACTGCAAACTATCCCAAGTCTCTTACGTGTAACAACCAACGATACAATAGATATTATAAAGCCATAAATGCTAACCAACAGAATTAATGAAATAAGAGCTAAATTAGTAGGAGCTGTAGAACCACTTCCAACAGTGATGCCCAAATAGAATCCAGTTCCAGCGATAGCTACAGTAGTTAATAGCAGGCTTAATCGAGTCATAACAAACGACCACAACATCTACAAAATGCATTTGATATAAAGATGAATAAGCATAATATTTTACTGTAAGGTTGATCATGATACCAATGTGTAGCAATCGTCAATGTATTTGCTACTTACAAGAGCATATCTTTTCTTAGTTGTATAATCATATCCCATCATTCCAGAAGCAATCAGCTGTCATTAGTAAACAAAATGATTGAAAAAGGAATCAGAGTGGTACATTCATAACTTGTTTATAAGCTAATCCAATGCAATTTTTAAGTGGTAATCCACAATTACTTATTTACCAATGATCCAGCATATAGCGGTAACACACAATACAGTCTTTGAATAGATGGGAAGAATATTGCTACTCCCGGGGTTATTACAAGTAAGTTACCGGCTGACATTTCTAATATGGCCAATGTCCTATCTGTTAAACAGTTTGTTGGCTCAGCTACGGTCGGCGGGGAATCAGGATTGTCAACTGATTGTACAGAGTCAGATTTGAGTAACATTTTTCTTGCTGTGTAAATGACCCATATAGCAACACCCATAGATGCACATAAAATAGCGATGGTAACCAAGGTGAAAATCAAAGCTCCAACAGCAGTATTTAATAGATTTGAAGTAGCCAACCGTACTATAACACTAATAAACATTAAAATACTGCTAATAGAATATGTTGTAGCAAGTAGTGAAAAAACATAAATGCCTGCAACCTAAAAGTAAATAAAATTATTATTACTATTTGAGATTGCATTGATGTCAATGTAAGCGTAGATATCACAGCCAAATAGAAAAAATCAAAATTTCTTTACGGTGATTGTAACTTGATATATTTACAGCATAAGTAACCACTTTCAATTATAACTATTAAGATAATAATTATGCACTATTATGCAAAATTGCTAATTTTGCATAATAAATTTTACATAGTAGTAGTGCTGCTTAACGACAGTACAAGCGACAGATTAATGAAATATTACAAAACATTTGAGACGCTAAATATATTAACTAGTCTAAGATTATCTTTGCGACTCTTTAACGTTTTTATATTCTATAGTGTTACATACAATAAAAGAAACCTACCACTGTATCAAGTGCTTTATTTCTTGCCATAAAGCATGAAAAGGCCGAAGTAGCGAGCTTTAAAGAAAACAGAAATATCGCGATAACGTATTAAATGGATCAATGTTTACAATAACTTGAACAGAAGTAAATGTTGATCATAGAATATCCACTGTGGTTAATAACATCTTATTAATTACCGCATTTATCGCACTTAAACTAGATCACAGAAATGAAACTACTGTTAATAACGTACCGACTGTGTAGTAAATCTTCAATTTTATGTCTTTTAACTTAACTACTGCGTCTAAATACCAGTATATTTTAATTGAATATTTTTAGTGAAAAAAAAATAAAATAGTTTTAATATTACCTGCTTTGTTCAAACTATTCAAGTTTGTTATAAAAGCTGGTATATGCATTAATCAGGCTATATCCGTAGATATGATTATTGTAAATGTGTATCAAGCAATTTATGACTAAATTTTTTCAAATATCTCCGTTGTAGAATACTGATTAAGAAATGTATACTGTACTTACGGTAATGCCAACCACACCTGGACCCAAAAAATATGTAGCAGGAACCGTAGTAGCTGATATAATTCCTGTTGTTAACCATGCAACGGCTGGTATGATAACGTTTAACAACGCTACTGATAACTGTGTAGCTCCAGCTACCAAAAAGAAGTTAGGCATGACGGAAAGTTGACTACTGGTTACCACAAAAGATCGAATGAAATTGTAAGGACATCGAATAATATTCGTTTTTTAGCTATTTGTACAGTATTACTATAATCAATCAAAACTGATCAACTTGTTAGCAGTGCTTAGTAGAGTGGAATACTGTATCTAGTAGCAGCAAACTAAGTCGACTTCACAATCAGTTGAACTTGATGAGTACGTTATTCTCATCTCATAGCAATCCGTTCTATCCCGTGGTTTAGATTTACAGTCTATTGATCGACTACACAAATACAGTAATTGCTTATGTTGATACCGTCATCAGTAAGTTAACTTATTATTTCTTTTTGGTTGTATTTGCCCTCTTGCATGACTGCAAGGGCATAGTAAGGATGTTTGGAGAAATCAGAGTTTGCCCGCTTGTTGTCATAGATACCAGGGCTAAAATGTACTGAGCGTATACCCTATCGCAATGATGTCTAAAGTCTAGTCTACGCCCTTTGATGGATATAGTGTGGCGAATTTCCTCTTATACCGTAGTAGCGTAGTGGCATACTGATCTGTCATTAATTGAAAAAGTAGAGAGATGTAAGACAGGCATAATCAGTCATAAAACCATTTATTCCCGACCATAACGATCGAAGAAAGCAGGTTTTCATATAGTATATTGCTATGTTCACGACCTGCTATATTGAACGCCTCATCTTGACATTTGTATATGGTTAGACTCAACAATATGGCAGTGCACTGCCACTTTGTATGATAATCATGGAGATTGCATCTAATAAATAAAGGATTGATTTTCCTATATTGTCATAATTAATACTTGGTGTATGATTCGGTTGCGTAGTATTAAGAGAGAGAGGGACTGGAAACCATCTTTAAAATGAAGAGGGTAGACGGCTGGCCATTTACTACACTTTAAGGTACCGTGTACATTTCCAGCTTTACAGTATAGTAAAATGACCAGTACAACAGACAGCGCTTACACCCGTACTAGTCCAGTCCTTCCGTATGGCCTTTGTCAGTCAGTCCGTCGCAATCAGAAGGAAAAACTGTGGACGTCCGCTGTCCGTGGCCTCAGTCTTCCTGGTCATAATGGCGATCTTTGCTACTTTTTCCTTGCGTGCCGCCGCTCGTCCATCACTACTGTTTGCATCCAAATGGAATAAATCGAAAAACTTCTTTAGTCGGACTATAGCGAACCAACCTTCAGCCGTGTTTCATGATAAGCCACATATTGATAGATTTGGAACTATTAAAGCAGTAGTGATCTCTGTTTCTTTTACCTACCTGGGTGCCCAGTTATCCAAACGAGGCGCGGCCTTTTTAGAAGAGAATGACATATTTGTGCCAGAAGACGACGATTAAACACACCTTTCTCTCTTACTATACTCAATATCCATAACTCCATAAAGAAATAATTATATACTGTATAGTCAAAACAATTCAGGAAAAAGGCAACGTTCCGTTTTAATAGACGTATACACGAAAAAAAAAAGGATTCTACTGACATGAAAGAACATCCTTGGATCAACTAAAAATTGTTATACTGTCAAGCTGCTCATAACCATCCTTCATATACTGTAATACAGAATGTAGAAAATTCTTTAGATTGATATCAATTGATGTGTACTTGAGAAGGCAACTAAAGCAATCTCGTCGTGCTTTTGTAAACTCTAGGTTATCGTAAGCATTTTAATGTCATAGTATCAACAAAATCGATGTTCTATTTCGTATAAAGCTAATCTATAATTATCTACCTTGTATCCTATGATAAATCAATAGCTATACTACATAATACAACTTGGTACATTTTAAAACAAAACAAAACCTCATCTAAACATGTAATTGACTATGCTAAAGACTACAGTGATAACATTTTGTAAGGCTATATAGCCAAATAATGAAAATATGAAATTTTAATAATCCATGACTTATTATCGCTTTACACAACATAAGGTAATGATAAATTACGGTAATATAAAATGTCGAAGACTGGAGTCAAGACAGCCTATGCAGACTATGTTCATATTTCTGCATCAAAATGCTCTTTTAATCATATTAGGAAGATTTGTTTGGTGTGGCATTTTATCAGCAGATAAACTACAGGACTTTGATATATAGAAATGTTGATGTCGACAGAGTACTTTGGGATTACAATACGCTGAGGCCTGTAGTCCTCTTACTCAATTAAATGGTGCAAAATGGCCCAGTCAGAATGGAACCTTGTCAATGGTAAAGTGTCCATGTTTATTTCTTTGGCTAATATCATACTTAAAATTGTAGTTTTCCTTTTAGTCGTGTCTTGTGATACAATGATAGAAGCAAATAAACGTTAGGCATATTATGTAATTTATACAGTATGCGAAAATATTTGGAAATAAAATGATCATATAGCCATCCAAGATCGATTACGTCTGATTGACTCCTTTGAACTAGTTAAAAGGAAAAGTATGAACAGTTTTGACATTGTTATGTGATAAATGTGCCGATTACAGTGATCATTCTAGCCTTGTCTGGTGATAGATTACTATCACTTAGAAACTATGCCTTTCCTCCTAATAATGTCAAATTTCGTAGTCATACCAGCAAATAAATGATAGACATACAAACATAGTATACAGTACACCTAATTATTTTAAGGCTATGCAACAAAGCAATAATTCATCGTGATTACTATATCAAAGGCTAATTATTCTCATAGGACAAAGATGGAATAACTTGAAACATCATCGAATACGAGTGCAATAAATTTAATGAAATTACTCCTTTACATAAGTCTTGTTAGTCGAACATACTGCTAAATAACAGGCATATTACGCGAATATAATAATTAATTTATCGTATTGAAACATCTGAAATATCAAACCGTAATAATTCATGTTTACCCTATTCAATTTATTCTCCCCAATTGACAAGACGATACATTCTAGACGTTCTACTAAAAGGGTATTCTATACTAATCGTTGAATTTTTCAACATCAGCTACATCAGAACAGGCTTGTAAATATCTTCATCCAATAAAATAAATAAAATTAAATCACGTTAACGTTAGATTTTTGTTTTAATTTATTTGTTGTATTGATCAGTTATGAAGTGGTAATCAACTTAACATTTCTGCTAGTTCTCTATATTATTTTTCAGTTGGAAAGAGTATGGGACTAAATATTATCTGGGCGAATTATTTAAGCAAAGCATACTATGTGGAATTATATTTAAAATTGTAGCGACTGAGATCATAGAGTTAGCTTTCAACATATACAGAAGAAAAAGAAGTAAAGTCTCTATCCTTATTTTATCAGGTTAAGGTTAATAATTAATATAATCTACAGTAAAAGTCCATATCGTTATCATCATATTAATCTTGTCCTCATTACCATATAAGCTGAGAAATTTTAATTGAGTGATTTTCATACGTAGAGTTATTATTACTTGGGTTGTAAACTTGTTGTAAAATAGATCACTCGGTCATTATTAACTTAATGTATATCACAAGGCAATTTTAACTTGAAAAAGAGTTAAAAGTAAATTCATTGAGACTACAACTCAAATCATATTATAGCGCATTAATGAAGAAGACAAATAACGAATACACAATTTGGCAATTTAGTGTAGTAACAAGCTTCCCAATCGTTCTTGTAAAATGGTCTGTTTTACATCACGGAATACCACCTTAATATTTTCAGTATCCGTAGCGATAGTATAATGATGATATAATGATTTATCATTGTCATTATTGGCTTCCATCTTGTTGGAAAAAAGCTGCAATATAAATTCTTTAACGGTTGTTAAATCATTTTCATCCCCATTGAATGCAGAAAAGAAATTTTTGATATTGCTTATGGTTAACCTTTCCTCCAGTAAATCAATCTTATTTAAAAATAAGATTTTAGAAGCTTTAGCTAAGAGCTCATGGTTGACTATGGCACCGAATATTTCTAATGATTCCAGTAGGCGATTAGTTTTTCTATCTTCTAGTGAAACTTGATTATAATCGCTAGCTGCTGCTAAGAATAAAATGGCAGTAATAGATTCGAAACATTGTAACCACTTGCGCCTTTGAGATCTTTGCCCACCAACGTCAATAAAGACAAATGGGATTTTATTAATTGTGGTGGTAAATTCAACAATTGTTTTTGTTGCCTTTCTCATCCTTAAAGCATCTTTTCGAATTGGAACGTAATCCTACAGTTAAAATTGATCAAATTAAATTGATTCATTGCAAGCTTTGCTACGAGGCTTACGAAGATTATATCTAATCTACGGGTAATTTCTTGAAACATTGGGTATCAAAAATTGATTTTAGCATAGTTGCATTATGGTTTCAGATATTTTTAAGATGTCGACTATATCAGTGAGTAGCAGCTTGATAAGTACAATTCATGAAACCTTCTTAATAGTTATCTTTTATGTTTCCTTCTAAATAGATCAGCTAAAAGTATCTTTGGACCGACATTGAATTCATAACTTTATAGCCAGTTACTTAAAAAATAGCACAATTCTTTCTATAATTTTCAACTAATTACGGCATCTTAAAAGTAAAAATACCTTATCGTTTTCATTCTTTTGCTATCAGTGATATATCTCTAATTAGGCTTTAATATAGAGTAAAGTTGTATACTACATTTGTGTTTATCCAGACATTGTAAAGAAACTTGTGCAAGAAATTTAAAATATGTTTGATATACAGTAAAAGATTAAATTTGTGATAAAAGTTTCAAATGCTTCTTAATATCACAGGATTCATTACTTTAGAGCGATATCGATATTCTCGTTCTAGATTAAAGTTTTCCTCTTATCCTTGGTATGCCTCTTAAATCGTATACAACTAGGTTATACAAATGAAAATTTTTTATCCGTTATGAATTAATCATTGCAGTGAATAGATCAGCAAATAATGTAAAGATAAAATGCTCTAATCTAAACCGAACATGAGTTTTAGGATTTCATTTTTAACTTAGAAATCGAACAGCAGATTGCAGTATACATTCAGAATTACATCGCAGGACATATTCGCTAGTGGCTGCTTGATAATTACGAATATCAGCCACCGGTACCGTATCAGTAAAGCAAATGAATCGTTTCATTATTAACTTTAAACTTTGAGTAATAGTTTACAAGCGATATTGGGCTTTCATTTTTTTGCTATTTGGTTAATAGTCTATATTAAACTAAAACATAGACGCTTTGCAACATAGGGCAATTACTATATTCTTTATCTGTGTAATCATTTTACACTTGTTAGCTATACCCGCATCTAATACGATAATACACGCCTAAATGAATTTGTTGTTATTCTGAAGTCTTAATTTTTTAAACATTTTGTAACCATGATCATAGATGGACAATATTATACCATTAAATTGAGGCTTTTTAATGTTAACAGAGTAATAATTTGAATCTTCGATAGTATGAATACTATGAACGTTTATCCTTACTTATAGTGACTATTGAAAGTATTTTACACTAAGATTTCTCCGGATTGTATTTCATGTATTACATATTTCCTAAGTGCGCGTTTACTTAATATCTGATCTTGATAGATTATTATTTGGATTTATATCCAATCGAGTACCAACACCATCAATCAAGACATATTAGCGCACAATTAAAGTAAATGTCAACGAAACATGAAATAACCAAAGAAATTAGAATCCTTTTAAATGATATCTAATGTTAACAAGAATGTGTCGAAATTGTTTCCTAATGTGGCAATTATTAATTAATCCACTGTATATCTAAGTCAGCTTACCTTCGTTCTCCATTTCGTTAAGATTAAAAATTAACAGGAGAACAAAATGAAATAAATGGTAAGCTGCTGTTATAATTTTATAATCACCTCCTTGCCAATAACTTCTAGCCTATCCATGAAATATTTCGTTGAATCTGCCTGCAGAATAAAAGCGAATGCAAGACATCGGTGTCAGTCATTTGGCAATCAAATAGAAATAGAGATAGAAGTATTTTCATTCCTCTTAAACATAAATGGTTCCATGGATACTACTATATATATATAAATTTTTTAGTATAAATTCTTTCACTATGCTAACTTTATAGGATAAGTTATATAGATAATTTATATATTTTAACATGGCTAAAGTTGGATATTTCATCAATCGTTTATTCAGTAGAATTGTCAGAATACATCCTAACTAGCTGCATAAACCTTCTGAAAGCAATAAATTACGAACTCCTGTTTCCATAAATCATACATTAGTAATTTTAGCTATTGAAAACTATGACAAAGAAATGCCGCTAAAAAGGATTAAAGATTAACATTAAGTACGACATACTAGTCGATGTAAATAGCGTTTAAATTATTAGGACTATGATTCGAAGTACGCAAGATAGCCTTATAGTTATATTATTGCTAGGAAAACTTATAAACTATTTAACTGAAAGATGAAATACGAACTAATCCTCTAGTTTTATTATTTTACCCTATCTAATCCATTTTACTTAATAAAGGAAGAGTTCACAAACTAGTCATACCTTATTTTACTTCAATGATTATCATTAAATTCTAATTTTAGCTACTTTATTTGTGCGATTTTGACTTAATATGTTGTCGAATCACGACGACAATACATATAACAGTGCATAATCACGTTAAATTTTATGAATAATTGAGGCAAAGACCGTGAGGTTATATTCCATTTAAACAACCGCTGTCGTTGATGAATAATACTAAATAAAAGTACGTCCTACGATCAGTAGCTTCGAAATGGTGGCAGCTTTGAGAACTATTGGCGAAAGTAGAGTAAACAAATTTTCTACCGCTGGCCGCTTGTCACCTAAGGAAGTAATGGTGCATCTATAATGAGCGATGTTTTACTTTCCTTGATAATCTGACTGATCTAGTATAAAATCAGAGGACAATTAAAGGAGTTAAATACTGGAACGCCTGAATTAACCCACGCTATAATTTTATAATACTTTGATGAAATTGTTTTTTCATAGCTAAAGGGGATCGAAAGCCATTGAATGAGCACATAGACAAGAGAGTAATACAGAATCTATAACGTGTGATATTTTAGTATCCTTGATAATACGATTGATTTGGTACAAAATCAGAGCACCACAGATTAGTCAAATGGCAGAACCCCTGAATGAACCTGCATTAACTTTTTAATACTTTGATAAAAATATTTTTTTCTTGCTACAGATAAGCGAAAGCCTTAGAATTAACCGCTATCACGGTATCATTTTCCTACATCTTATGTTCATAACCTAACAAATTTTAGTGATGAACGATAACCTCGATCAGGCAAAGCCTTCACTTAAAATAATACGTATATAAAAGGAATTAGTTGCATTTATAATATATGTAGAATGCTAATATATCCATAAGAAAATAACATAATATAAATGAATGTGTAATATTGATGGTTTTACGTCATTTTGATAATTATTTCCGGATAGAAGATACAATTCATATCTACGAAACTCCATTCGATACTTTTTGTGTATCATTGCGGATTTAACTCAGGATTAATACCATAAAGTCAAATTTTTTATGTCTTCTTAATGACTACGTTACCAAGCAACGTTTCAAAAAATATATAAGGTACACTACTTAGATATTAATGATAGTTTAAAGCACTCGATCTGGCAATTATATTGGCGGCGAATAATGCTCTAGATAATGTGAATCATATGCATATACTACAGTATAAATCAATCTAATCTCCTTGAAACAAAGTACGGTAGAAAAATGCCTCATATCAATAACAACTAATTTTTAGCAACAAAAAATCTGTTCGTTATTAGACGGTTCCCTACGGCTATTTCATCTGCAATCTAGATTATCTCATCATTATTATTAAATGATAGGAATATATATGTAAACCCAAAGTAAATCTGCTTATCATAAGCAATAGCTCAAAGTAAAAATTAGCTACTTGGGTAGAATATCAATAAATGCAAAAATCATTAGACTATCCTGTAGCTTGAAATTAAAGATCTATCATAAAGTATGAGCGACAATTTTATATTTGAACTAGGCCTTAGCAAGCTAATTTCAGTTTTATTACCAATATGTATTCATTTCTTCGTCGATAAGTTTCTTGAATTGCCTCGTCTAACCATAACTCCCGAATCATATCAACCACTGCGACAAATTCATGCGGCTCAATTTCATTTACTTTAGTATTAAAGTTTAAAATTTGATCGGCATAGTTTTGATGAGAAGAATCTTTCCACTGAATTTCAAAACTTCGTCTCGCTGTGACTAAAACTTTCATAATTCGAATTATGTTACCATATATAATGGAACGAAATTCCAATAAATCTTGGACGTCAAAATCTTGGCCGTGTAAAATCCTCATTTGTTTTAAAAATGTTGATTTTCCGCATTCGCTAGCTCCTAATAGTAATATCTTAATCGTTTTGTAGTACTCTGTTCTTTCTTGTAGGATTTCTTGATCAATAATTTTACTGTGTCGAATTTGTTCTCGACGTTCGCTATTTGCTTTAAAGCATAAAACAGTATCCATCTCTTCAATCTTGATTAAAATAAGGTAATAATTCGATATATTCTATAAATAAGTTTGTATATGCTTAATATTATGTTAATATATAACAGAAATGCAGGCAACATGAGTATCTTAAAATCCTACCTTAAGTATTGATACGCTTGGCTATCAAAAGTGGCCCTGAAGTAACGAAAGGGTAAGAATAAAATTAATAACCAATCCCTTGTTGAAATTCAATTTGATATACTAATAGCCTACAAAAATTTTATCTAATATTAGCCATTTGTACATCAATAATCCTATTACAATTTGCAAAACCTTTTTCTTTGGATAAGGACTTTTAAATTTTTATTCAAATTATCATTCCCAGTGATATGAACCAACTATTAACGAAGATAAGGCATTGACTTAAGCATATTCCGCGTGTGTAACACTAAACATACTGACAATGATAAAATTATAGTAATAGTTAAAGCTCTAATATAAGAAAATTAATACCTATATAAAGCTTATAGGGTACGAGTTATTATACTTTTGCATATAGCAGTAATTCAGACAGCTTGTTAATAATGCTACTTTTCATCAATTGGATATATCCGTCTAACAAATGTCATCGTCCGATACGTTTTGAAAACACAATACCAAGGTAATTTTAAAATTATTTTATAAATAGATTTTATCTAGTAAGTTGTATCTTTTCCCATTGGACGTACCCTACAACTGATGCTGACTTGGTAATGTTATGACAATAGTGTGGGAAATTATCCAACTGGATAATGTTTCTATACGTCTGGCAACTGAAATCAATAGGATCAACCTATTTGTAGTATTCTTCTTTTCTTGTATGTCCTATAGCGATGATCTGATATGCATGCTGATGCATAAGTTTATTGTTAACAAAGAATATATATCGAATTACTATCAAAGTTAACGGCACTCATAGCGTTATTAATATGTTATTAATAACCACAAGGCGCTACCAGACAGAAATCTTCTATTTATCATTGATAATTAATATTTAGGTGTTGTTTTCTCAATGCTATATCATCTAGTAATATATCGATATAAATCTAAAAGTTTAGCGTTGATTAATTGAAGTCTAAAGTTAACCTTTACAATTTTATAAGTTTATGCTCTGCTAAAGGACATCATGGCTACGAAATAAAACATGCATAAAAAAATAAATTAATAACCGAACTCGAAATATTATTGTCTCAAATAGTTGTTATCGCATATTTCGAAAAAATAATTTCATATATCTAGGACGTCTACGCTTGGATAATAGTATATGTGTATGAGTAGATCTTAGTGGAATACTGATTTGGTAGCGTAATATCTGAAGAAGCAATAAGTTAGCTTTTTATGATGTATCCTCTTAATACGTTAAGAAGCTGTTCAAGCTATACAGCATAATATCATATTGAAATCTTTTATTTAAAATAAAAGATTCCAGAATATACAAATCTATTTGCTTATTAGGTTATATGAAAACTATTGATTAATTTATAAATTGTAATCATAATACAAATGGATATAGACTTTGATTGTAATCCCTTACTAATGAGGAAATTGATACTTTTTCAATTATATGAAAGTATTCAATTTTTTTGTTTGCCTTAGACTAGCAAGTATCAACCAGCATACTGTATATTTTACTGTGCATTCATCTAATATTACAATGAACATTGCAAATAATAAATCAGAGGCTACTTTTAATAGTCCTGGTACGATATTTATTCGCATTTATCTAAGCAATGATAGTACACAGATACAATCTGAGTGTTTAAATATCACAATAAAAGGTAAAGTAACTATTAGTAACAGTAATGTTATATAAGAAATTACATCAATTGATTCCATAAAATATACAGTATTTAATCTTAGATACCTCGACCGCAAGGATTTATTGCTGAATAATCGTCTCGCTAGCAATCATACTGCTCGTAGGTAGTACATTAATTTTAGAAATAATGCACGTGTAAGAATAAAACTATGGTATTATCGCGAACGTTATTGCATCTTTTAACATGCTTTGCACATTCATAATTAACAGCAAGAATATAATCTTTAGTTTATCGTATTTTCCTATTTGTCGCATATGGCATACTGCATTTGGTAACTAGAATAATCAAACAGGAAAACAATCATTAAATAAATTTGTTATTGGTCTGAGTGATAGTTGACATCTTCCCATATAATTTTTACCGTACCTTAGCTAGAGTACTTTAATATAATATGTTATATAATTAATAGAATGGTAGCATACAATACTCTTTAAGTAAATTAACGAAATCAAGGAAATCATTGAATAGAATTTGTTGAAAGTCGAATCATTTGAATATTGGTCAGTACCTTACTTAAGTTTTACTCCATCTAGGCTAAAACAATAGTCCACTAATATTACCCGTTGTATTATTAATGAAGTCGTTGTTCAGAATCTTGATTTCTACCTTGTTTATGATGATGTCACATATTTAAAGTTGGGATCAATGTTGATATTATGTGTAAATGAAAGCCATTAATTATTTGAAGTATATAATGACATGTATTCCCTTAAATTAATATTATATTATGGTAACACATACAAGCCGTATCAACTTCGGTTTGATTTATCAAACAATTATCTAGTTAACTGTATCCAACACTAAAGGTGATATTTCTGATTTTAACAAGTATATCAAGATACATTTCTTGTAGTATTTGCATGCTACTTGTGTCCGAATAAAAGAAAGCTTTAATATCAAAATTTATAACTACACGATACACCCTGATATTCATTAAAACCTTGTGAAAGTAAAATTCGATCTATACTACAATAGTATACAATGATTAAGACAATCTTTATCTTAACTGTGAGTAGTATATCAATATAAGCAAGCAATAATTTAACTATTAGTTTCCCGAAAAATTCATAGAGACATGAGAGGAATGGTACAGATAATCAAATAAGCAAGTAGTTATATCACACTCAATGTCGTATTAAAATACACATCAGGCATTCCAATATGCCGTTTTTGGTGCAAAAAGAAATTTCCTACGCGATACCTTTTACTCAAGTACAACAACACACTAGCTATAAGAGCAAAATAGTTGACTGATTTATAACAGAAGGTTAGTGTAGAATTCTAGACATTAATAGATTTTCTAAGAGTGACTTGCCAAAAGAATGAGAGAGACAATAGGAGATAGGTACATGATAGCACAGTAGAAAATGATAGCTAATTAGATCAATACAATTGTATATCAAAACAATGTTGATAAAATTGTTTGAATAAGGACAGTTCCTTTCTAAATGCGTGACAATATAGATATCACTCTGCCCAAGAAATGATAAACTATTCTTGATGACGTTAAAATATGGTAGTGATTTACCATAGCAGATACAATAGAAATTGCAATTTATATATCCAGATACTAGCCCAATAACAACATGAGTATTGTGGTTAAGAGTATAAGATACTGGAACGACTACAATGGTTGTAAACCTTAACAGATACAAATAAAATAAATGATGAGTTTTTTTTTAAATTAACTATCGAATTCATCTTATAACAGTGCTGCTTATACAATGATAAAAATAAGCAAGTTTAAACGATATACAGAAGCGAATAAATCTGCAGACAAAAAAATTGCAATAGTTATTTCCACTATGTATACAATATTATTATCCATTAGATCAACCATGGTGTAATTTATTGATGGTAGTTTTGTTATGGTCAGTTAAATACACTAAAGAGTATCGATTACTGATATGTAAACATTACTATAACGGACATAGAGAAGTATTTTATGTTTCCAGTAAAATTCGTAATTTGTAATGTTAAAGCATTTCACTGTAGCATCAATATACTCATATTTTCTTCCAAGATCATTTCTCTGACAGCATTGAAGACGAATTTAATGTTTTCAGTGTCAGTAGCAGTAGTGAAGTGATGATAAAGTCCACGCTTTTGATCATTGCTCACTTTTTCAAACATAGTGATCAAGAAATGCTTAACGTCTTCAATCTTCTTAGGATCACGGCTAAACTCCGGGAAGTAATCTTTTATGCTGACAAGTGAAACTTTTTCTATCAAGATGTCAGTCTTATTGAAGAATAAGATGATGGCTACTTTTGCGAAAAACTTATTATTGATTATTGTATCAAATATCTGGCAGGATTCAACAATTCGATTCGTTCTATTATCTTCTAGTAAGACCTGATCGTATGCACACGATGAAACCAAAAACAAAACTGATGTTACACCTTCAAAGCACTGTAGCCATTTGCGCCTTTGCGATCTTTGACCACCAACGTCGACAAAAGTGAACGGAACCCGATTGATATTCAAAGTTAGTTCAACGATATTAGTCGTAGCTTTACGTGATCTTAAAACGTCTTGTTTCGTTGGTACATAAGCCTATATGGAAAAAATTATTGGAAGAACTTTCAACAGTCTACAATGCGTCTTAGATTTGAACATAACTTTAAGACTTTTATAGTATAAGCCAAATTTATAGTTTATTTATGTTTTATGATAGCAAACAGTGGTATTGTAAACGTTGACATTAATAAAACTCTTAATCATGTCTGCAGATGGTAGCAGAGATCCAATCCATATTAGTATTTGTCATAGTACTACTTGTAAAGTGAATGCAAGAGACAGCGATAATTGTAAGAAGGGATACAGGAATGAATCAATATAACGCTACTAGACTGTTAAGTGTAATATCTACATGACTAGAATGTGTACCACATAGCAACGATATATACGTATGTTACTACTTGGCAAGAGTACATCCATGTTGAACTACAATATAAGCAGATCAGTACTAGTAGAAATCATTACTAAGTCAATGATTACAATGTCGTCATAAACGAGTAGTTAATAATTAATTTACACCAAGATCTGTAAGTCAATACGCAATGTAATGATATGCTATAGCTACGTAAGTAAAATTTTGAGTTACCTTATCCATCAGACTTTTCATTCGATCCATGAAATAATATGTTGAATCGCTCTATTTTAAAAGAAAGAAATTTTTTCAAAATGCAGTTACTTTACTCTAATGTGACTATATTCTACAAAGAGTGAGAGCTTAAAAAATATATCCAATTGATGAAGTAGTATGTTAGCACTTTATTAGAAAATACTGAATATTCATTTTATGCATTTGTTGTAATTATATATATATATGTTATATATATATACAATACAACCGTGTTATTGCCTTGACTATAGTCGTAGTATGTGTAGTCAATGTTACTACCCGTCTAGATCGTATTGAGTCAAGCGATTAAAGTTATCAGTACTTAATCCATTGCAAATATATAGCTAGTTTTTTAATCAGTTGGCTATTGAGTTATTAGTTGTTCGGGCAGTTCGTTTGCACATGTGTGACGACTTGTACTATAAAAGTATCTCATTTGATAAATGATATGATTTGACGGTGTAATTATTGCAGAATGAATCGGAGTGCCCTGGTTGTGTAGCTCATTGACCGACTCCAGTCAAGAAAGGTCAGCCATATAACAGCATTCTAGGATAGCATTGCAATAGAATAAACATTAATCTATGCCTATGTTTGTATCTAAAAATTGGGCTTATGCACACTGTACTGAAGACGGATCGAGTTATAAATGAAAATTTACATGGATACAGTACCTATACTACATTAATGCACAATGCATAAGAGAATACTTCTATTATTGTCGGTATAGATTAGCGAGTGTTTACAGTAGTATGATTTGCATTACTGCAAGAATAGTCGATGACATTATAATTATTTTTTGATGGCCTCCTGTAGGATAATCACTTACTGGGTATTTAACTAGGAAAAGATGGATACGATTATATAAGTACGTATATTATAAGAGATGGATCGATTAAAGTAGAAGATTGTAAGGATGATAAGTTGGTGCCAATTATTACAGTTGCACTTGTAGTCTAATTTTAGCAGTAATGATTTATAGTTATGGATTCGGTAGATAGTGTATTGCATGTCTGTTCTACACTAAGTCTAACCCTGTCCACTGCTCTACTGTATACGTATCTATCATTGGAAGTGTAAACCCACTCAAGGTCCTAAATCAACAATAGGATTGGATGGAGCACTGGAGAGTATCCTAGGCTATGTTATAAGGTAGAATTGGACAGTTTTTGTTGCAACCATATTACTGAAATGGTTTTTTTCGAATTCATTCATTATAGCTTGATGTACCCTTTGATGAAAAGAAGATTGCGATAAAATGACTTTTAACCGATGCACCACAGGATTTCCTTTGCTATAGTTCTGCCTCTTCATCATACAGTTGTGACCGGTTACTACAGAATCAAGGTTGAAGAATGGAGATGTTTTTTTAACCTGTATGAGTTGAACTGTACCATTGTTGGAAGAGGAGTTCTATAGCGTAACAAATGCCTATGGCACGTCGGATACAAGGTAGAGTATTTCATTTCAATTTCTTCGAATCCAATGGTAGACGATGGCATCAGTGGAGAAAGCTCATGAACTGTTTTAACGATCATTCTACCCTTGCAAAACAAGCATCCTGTCCTACGTCGCTGACGTTGTAGTCTAGCATAAGAGAAATGGCATTTTCTTCTTCACTACGCGTCCCCATTGGAGTTTATTTGTAGAATTGGATTGTACTGTCCAGTTGGTTGGGCACAATACGTTACAAAATGATTGCGTGCAAGCTACGTGAATTGATGCATTGACTACAAACTTTCATTTCTTATTCTTAATTATCATTTCATTTTGATATTGTTGTGAATTGTTGATGGCATCCTGTGACTCAGTCATGCATGCATTGGTACAATTTACCTACAGTCAAGAATAGACTCCATTACAGTCGAGTGAACTACTGCTGGACACTTTGACAGTCGATGCAAAAACGCTCCATAAAAGCTGTGGAAAACTTGCCTATCTACTGTACAGTAGAAAGCCTACTCTAGCACCACAGACAAGCTTCTAGCAGCAACTACTCAAGAAAAGAGAGAGAGAGAGGCTTTTCTTTGGTAGTCTGCTTGTCATCGCAAGCCAAAAGTGGAGAGCAGGTGGACCAACAGCAACATCACTATGTCGCCATGTCGGTGTGGGTCATGCAATACTGTACAATTAGTCGAGTGTGGTTAATGCAAGACAATACAACTAGTCGAGTGTGGTTAAGAATCAACCCGAAGCCTGGACTGGAGGGCGCCATTTATCGTTCCGATTTTCTGTGGTAATGACAGTGTTTGTATGGCGATTGCACTCCTTTCGGGTTGGAAAATCAATCCATCCTTTGATCGGGTTTTACCGTAGCGGCTTGGGATTGCGTTTTTACTCCATTTGACGACTGCAACTACGACTGTCAAGGTCTTGTGCTGCACATCCTTTCTCTTTGGTTACAGTACTGAAACATCCACTACAGGATATTGGTACAGTATGACTCATGCATGAATTCACTTTCAAGTCTGTACTGCAGTCGGTCGGTAGTCGCAAATTGAGTTTGGAGGAGGTCTTTTTTCCCCCCTTTCAACTCAGTACATACATTACAGTACATTGTATTGTACAATACAATGTACTGAGTGTACGTACACTGACTGTAGATTCAGGTCGTGTTATGACGTAGACAAAGGCGTTTCTACAGTTGTCAATGAAGCTGAAAGTGAGGAGATGACGACGTAAGGCAACAAGGCGCAAATTAGTCTCTGTACAAGCGAATGGATTACAGAAAGAAAGGAGGGAGGGGGAAAAAGAAGAAGAAGTAGAAGCAACCTAGGCAAGAATGATTCTTGTCAAACAAATATCATTCATGCACTGGTCGAGTACAATGCCCATTTTAGGCCAAGGAACGACATGAAAGGCAAGAGTAACATTTTGCCCCTTAATCGTCTGACATGCAGAACAGTCGACTATAGACTGTACTGTACGGTGGAAAAACAATGGCTATCATCAACATTGTGCAACAGTGGACAGAATTGGAGATATGCCAGTTCATAATGAATTAATATCAGCTTCGATGAAGCTGTTAAATGATTTATTGGATACATTACCAGCTGGTAAAGATTCCTTTTGTCGTAGGTTTGCTGTATTGCACGATCTTGCCATAAATCGACAACTTTGCCAGCGTAAGACATAAATGCGGCATAATCGAATACTGTCGATTTGGTATCAATTGCTAACAATTCTTGGGCGTAATCCTCATAATCTGCATTAGCCCATTTGATTCCCAGTGAATCCCTTGCAGTAATTAGAACACGCATATTTTTCACCACATTGCCATAAATGAGGTTCTTGAATTCCATAAGATCCTTTTGACTATATTCTTCACCATGGATGATTCGCATTTGTTTTAAAAACGTCGACTTACCACTTTCGCCAGCACCTAATAACAAAATTTTAATTTGACGCCCACGAGATTTTTTCTCTTTGGATAATTCTTTATCAATCAGTTTACTATTGCGACGTTTCATGTCATATTCAGGATCATTACTAGTATTTCTACCACCGGCGCAGCATAACATGGCCATCACTTGAAAATGGACACACACACACACTCAAGGTGTTGGATGAAAACAGTCAATGGTTGAAATACTTTTTGAACAAGGAGGCGACTTCAATCCAATCAATTGAATACGCGCAGATCAACGTCGACAGGGCGATTTCACTTAGCTTTCCACCAAAGAATAATTGAATTTTGGGTAAACCTTTAATCGTAAGATAGATTGATACACGTACTGTACAATCCAGGTCCTGGATAAATCCCCCAAAAAATGAAAAATAGACTAGCCATCAGAATCAACCATAGCATAGGTTACTGCCATTTTAAAACACATACTTTACGTTACACAATGCAATTTCAACCTCGACCAACTGCACGTAGATGGTATGGCGTTTTAAGTATTAATTCATTAATTAGAATTATTATTATTATTGTTAACCATCCAGTGGATGCGACTCAGCGCTAATAGGGCTATCAGCATTCAATTCACTAAAAGTAAAAGTAGTGATTGTTTTGAATTGAAATTTGTAGCCGGTTCGAGGTATGATGTCCACAACAGTTCTACATCTAGCTATCAAAGGCAAAAAAGTACTTGTATATTACTGTGGAGAGCATCCAAATCGATCAATATGATTGGATTCATAGACTATCGCGTGTTGATTGTAGAAGAATAATTTGTACTGTTGATCGAGAATTCTACCAGCACTCACTGATGCATCACTTGTAATGTAATGATTACATTCTATTTGAATTGTGATCACAACATTAGCAACGGACGTCCTTATTAGGTTAAATGCAGAGTTTTCTGAACAAAATAAATACACTTGACTCAATTATATAGTGCAATAAGCTGAAATGACAAAGCATCATTACTATTAATTCGCTGAAACCACAATCGTCAACGCGGGCAAACCTTCATCACGCATCATTCAATATTCATACAGTAAAGGGATAATTACAAGCTTCCTTGTCTATTTTAAAGTCAGCACGTTGAAAATGTTGAAATTGTAGCTTTTGACGACTAGTAAGTTTGGTTACTGCATCGTGTAAGTACAGTAGATATAGACGACGATTAAAGTTCTTCGCTGAGAAAAGATATCAATACTAGAGCTAGTGTATTCAGCCTACACGTTCATACTATCATTTAGTAACTATAAGTGTACACACTTGAGTTGAGTAATGGAAAAATAATGAATCGATTGTATTAATAAATGATGAGTTGGAATCGATAACAATTTCATTTTTCATGTAAAGTTGATAGAAAACAAAAACGTCTTTTGGATGTGTCATCCTAAAAGAGGATTGCTAAAATAACCTTGCGACCATAATAAATAAAATGTGATAACAATGTACAAGATGCTACTTGAAAATACAATATTTACTTGTATGAAATTTTCATGCGTTATTTAGATTCATAACCAACACTTGCTTTCTCAAGTGATGTTGAAAAAGTTGTTAACATGTCATTCCGTAACGGTCAATGGCTAACCGACTGGCATGTACACGTACTGTATGTATATGACCTCTAGACAGTAACAAAAATTCTAATAATCTGCCTTTCTTCTCTATTCTACTCAGTACAATTAAGGTCGATGCATATTATTGAAATAACCGAGGTAATGATGGATATTGGGTCCATATTCAATTTGAAATTATGCGCGTTTACTGAGGAGAAATGGCTAAACAGAAATGCGTACTGCACTTTATTGACTTCTAACGTTACTTAGCTGGTTAACTTACTCTGGATGAGTCGTTTCATTGGATTGGATCGCCTTGCCCAACAGTCACGCAATATATATTACACACTTTAGGCAAACACCTGCACAAAATGAATAGCTATAATTTCAATCTTGTTGTAATGATGTTGTACAATAATTTTCGACTTTACACGGTTAAGCAAATGGATGTCTAACTTTCAGTGAATTCTCAAGCAAGCGGATCAGGTTAGCGCATTAATAATTCTTTTCTTTCTACACTGCTTGCGTTGGAGGCACTGTTGAAGTTAATCGATGTACATACTGTATATGTCCTATAGAGAGTAACATGTAGACGCCAAGAGATCGATATTGGCCCTATAGAAGTAGTGGTTGGACGATAGAGTATCAGCGATCCCTACTATACTGTCGATGCTGGTCGAAACCTTAAAATAGTCCATGCTCAAGTGCTGGGATGCATGAACGTTGGGCATTTTTACGCATGCGGGGGGTGCCAGCGGATAGTAATTTGTAGGGAAAGAAAATTAACGATATGCCCCTATAATTTGTATTTGTATTGTATTGGATTTTTTTCAAGTAGCAACTGCGACAAATTTTCTAGATAGACTGTCCAAGACACGCCAGTTTACTCTTCTCTTCTTTACTGTGCGTTTATTCTAAATCAATACCAATTATGGTCAACAAATCCGACTGTACACTGTATGGTGTCCACCTACTGGAAGCGCTACAATGGACATGGAAAGACATTGCGCTATCATGATTATCCAGTAGGCCATGGTGTTGCACTTTTGCAATACCGTATCTCAACAACAACACGGTTATGTCGTAGTGAATGCTATATGCCTTAACTCGTATGCTTTAATTAGCTCCGCTAATAAAGTGTTCAATGCTTGACGGCAGATGAAGTTAAGCGAACAAGACTTGCTCTAATGTGACAGATTGACTAGACCGTAGTAGGCAGAGACTCTTTTTCTTCTTATATTGGCGTCAACTCAATATACAACAGTACAGATTGAGTACCTAGAGTGCTGTACTGCATTACTCAAATCCCTAGAGGTCCACCGTTGGCCGCCATTTTTCTCGTGGACATTAGTACAATCTACAGTATGGTACTCAGGTACTGTAACTTTTCTGCGGCAAAGACTTGAACTGCTTGCATACTGTACGTCAGCGGTACCACGCGGCGTGCAATGATAAACCTCGATAATAGAATTAGGGTAGAATCAGGTATAATATAATCATAATTATTGAACCGAATTAGAATTCATTAATTAATTAATTATACTGTATATATTATATAGGGGCATATCGTTAATTTTCCCTATATTATAATAGCGCTAAAGGCTGCCTAAAGTATCAGGATGAACTTCAAGATGATACGTAAAGTACAGTATAGCACTTAACGCCACTACATAAGGTATATTGTACAAATACAGTCATTGTGCTAGAAAGCTGCCTGTGTTGTGCAGTATACTGTACAGTATACATGTACACTTGTACACTACAGTACTGTACTGCCAGCTTATTATTCATTAAAGTTAGCCGACTTTATTTGCATTTACAACACTAGGGCACGCCTAAAATTCTGGACACGCCTCCACTTTTCTCATATTTCTAATTTTCTACTACTTTACACTGTCCAGGACTGCATAGTAAGTACATACTGTAAGTAAACTACATCAGACTCCCATTGAATGACTCTGTGATACTCGCTACTGTGCACTTTAATTTTAGTTAACAAAACAGATTCAATTACCAAACTGATACGTTCTGTATAGCGAGCGAGGATCCATCGTTGCGGTTATAGATTATCATTCATTATAAGACGCTCAAACATGGCATAAATGGCCATATTAATGATTATACAGGAGATGAAAGCTCATCCAGGCTAGTTCCTAACTTCTTATAATCACCAATAAAATGCCCTGCTCGTTTATCCTTGCATAAATCCACTGTTGTTGTAATACTTTAGCGGATTCGATGATCGTCACTAAAGCCTAACCTGTTAAACGTAACTCTGAAACAGGATATGAAAGTGTAGTACTCTAAAAGCACAGCGCAGTAGTTCAACTTCGATTAGTCTGCTTCAGTTCATAGTTCATACTATGATACTGTACGCGTAGTCATCAATTACCCACTATACGAGACTATATACTGACCGAATTGGTCATATGTGCTCGTAGCAACCAATATCCACTGCAAACATATCGTAGAATTATGATTAGCTAGATATAGCATGACCAATTGACCATTAACCGGATATAACGGCGCTGATTAAAAGTTCTACTGGTCTATGAACTAAAAGTCTATGCGCAAACTGCGAAGAATGCACCACTCGATATCATGGAGTCTATCGTAGGACTGACTCTACTTCCGCCTGATACGCATTATCCTTCTTCTGTATCTCACCAAATTCGCGAAAGAATTGCAGAACCTAGCCTCTTAGACATCAGCAGCCGTAAAAAATGCGCATTAATAACGCATCTAATGCCTATTGATATCTATTCGTAATACACTACAGCATCCATTGAACTGGGTAAATACTAAAAAGATCGCATTTTTGAATCAATAGAGTATTTTATTAAAATTGTATTTGACAATCAATTAAAAACAAAGTAAAATATTAGCAGTACAATACAGAACTGCATTAGACGTTCTTTAAATTCTTTCATCCGATTAGCTTCGATTCGTCGATGTAAATTTCATTTAAATACAAGTTAAGCAGTGTTTCTGTTCCTCCTCATCTAGCATTGATTTACATAGAAACGATGCATAACATATACATACAGAATACATTTATCTATTTAGTAAATAAATATGAGAGGAATGTATCAAACATATATATCTCCGAAATTACATCTAAAATCTAAAGCAATAAAGTCGTCAAGTATCTCAGGCGACAATAAATAGCCCAGTAATATTCAGCATTTTTCATAGTAATAACTTACAAGATAAACACCTAGTTCAATATCATACAGAAATTCGTGAGTAGCTGCAAATTTACATACTTTTGTTAATCGGGTTCCTTTCCAACCCGAAAGTATCTACTATACATACGCGTATACCTATACATGTTTATACAAAACGCAAAGACAAGAAAAAATAGTACATCAACTAGAAATATCATCTAATAGGACAGATAGCTGCAGACTTCAGAATGGTAATACAATGCTGTACAAGAGTATATGTAGACGTGTAGATCGCTATAAAGCAATGTTAAAATCAATCTATAAAGTGAAATATGATGACGAAAAGACGTACGGTACCAATACTGTTGATGAATTGATATTTTACGACAAAGAATAATCAAATACGGAATAAGCGGCTTAATCACATAAAAATAATAACACACTATTTGGCAATTGGATAATTGAAAACAGTACTAGAATGTACATAAGTATATTTCATATTAAATAATTACATTAGCTAAGCGAATACAATATAGAGCTGATTGTATTACATAAATTCAGGAAGTACGGTTCAGCAAGTGTACTGTACATTCCAGATTATTCCAGAAATGGTTATATATCATAGTTGATGCTCTGAATAGGTGAGATAACGTAAATATCCTAGATACACATATATTACCAAATATCAATCTGAATATAATTAAAAGAAAGCCTTAATGGCATCATTATCTAATTGTATTCCATTTGATAGACATATAATATTAATAACACATGTCGAAATCGAACATCTCAACATTAACTTTTTTTAGAGCATAACGTCGTGAAACAAGTCCATGCAAACATGATGACATTACAGGGGTACGTTCATGTCAATGGAACTTCAATGGTAAATTCAGTATTTACCAAGCTTAAAGAGTTATTTCTTCAAGTTGACCACACGGAATATCTAGAATTTATCAACAAAATACTAGTATTATCTAACAGCTTCCAAATCATGTAACTAAGGCACTTAATGAAGAAGTAAATACTATTCGTTTTGTTTTCTAGAAATATCTCTTTACCTGTTCATAAACTGTCCAAGCCATGGCAGCCATTAAAGTTCGCCTAGTTAAACGTAATGCTAAACCTCTAAAGAAACCAGAGATACCATTACTTTTATAGATGGCGGCGATAGTCGATATTGTATTTCTATAAGACTTGGGATCAATTTGTAATTTTGTTTTGACTACATCGGGTGGATGAGTTACCACAGAAGCAAGTATGCCACCAACAACACCGGAAGCAAAAGTTATACCAGCTTGAGGAACATCATTTGTAACTAGACATGTAAGAGAAGCACATAGATGATATTACTTTAGGAATAAATTAAGCATTCAGAGCATAGACTTTTGAAATATTGGTTGCAGAATGTTGCCAAGAGATATATGATCAAAAAAATTGCACGTGACTTACCTCCATTCAAATACTTCTTACTCTGAGTAAAAAACATCAAGTAAAGACCAGAAAATGGCGCATCACGAACTATAGTTGCTGTTAGTCCACTGTATAACCCTCTTGCTCCTTCAGTACGCCAAATACCTTTAAGGGCGTCAGCAACGCTCTTGTAGCCGTACCGACCAGACTGAGAAAAAAAGATCAAATTTTAAAATCTCAAATGGCCTACTTTATAAAATTGACCACAATATGCAATAATAAATCAAGCTACGTTTGACAATTAACCGTTCATAAATTACAAAGTTTATTGTATTTGATTGCATAAAATCTGTATGAAATAAACAGCATCAAGTACATTTTGTGGGTACTAGTAACATTTAACGAGTTCGAACAAAAACTTGACATTATAAGGCAAGATAAAATTTTATATCTTTTATTATCAACAATTTTTCAATTAAATTCGTAAAAGCGAGTCGGAACTTGGCATTGTTCGTATATTGGTAACATTTCGTAATAGCGGAAGCGTAATAACAAGGGAATGATGCTGTACGATACCATTTACAAAAGGGTGCGTATGTTTTCCCGTACATTGTCCAAAGTTCAGTAATTATCTGACTAATGTATACTTTGTACAGTTGGACTTTTCCAGCATAATTCAAGTTACAAGATAGATGCCTCCAGTTGAACAACTGTACTACAGTGTATGCTTCTTATCACTACTGCACTCTAAACGGAATTTTCATCATCGTAATTATGCTACACATGGACTACTACGTACGTCTATATGTAGTACAGCACTGCACACTGAGTAGAATAAATTAACAAGTACTTTTACAGACATCTTCCACAAAAATAGCGCATCTAAAAAATGACCTGAACTCGACCTACCTCATATCGTGTCTTCACAACCGTTATGGGTAAAGTTTGTACAACCGCAACAGACCTCGCAGTAGCTCCTAGACAAACTGTTTGCATCGGCGTAGGGTCATTCCTTTAATAATAATTGCAATGATGAGACGAGATAGAGATTTTATATCTTAAAAAACAAGCGTTAATTTCTTTACGAACTAGAAAGCTTATCTCATGTAGTATAGTACTGTAATGAAACGCTCGCTACTTGCTGCGAATCTCGCTAACTGCACTATCACGGGACGAAGTCTTGCAGAACACACTGGCTGCATCAAAGCGTGAGAGTACCTGCAATCTAATGATTGCCTAAAATTTTTTGTTACATCCAATCGCGTAAAGTATAAAGATGCCCTAATACTGATGGTATACGGACGTATAACATAACTTTTATTTACAGTAACATAATACAGCAAATCCAAAATAAACACATTGCTCCATCCAAACACAGTTCATCACGTGAAGTATTTAATAAACATTCCTATCGTTTCTTCGCTACTTACTTGAAATGAGAACGCAGAAATGATAAAGAGCAAAAATATATACCAACACCAGGGACGGTCCGCGATAATGACTACAGTAGCAATAACAGTAAAAGAAATGATATGATTTAATACCGTGACATCCGCAATTTAAACTTAATTTACGAGTCAAATTAACTAATGTACAGTACCGAAAGTTATAAATCCGATTGAAAATTGATAAAATTTTCAAATATCCTAACATACCGGTGCTACTCCTTTCCATAAACCAGCCAATTTTTCTTTACGTACGACCGTGGTAAATACTTGAAGCACACCAGTATTGCTAAGAAATAATAGAAATAAATGGCAATTTTATTTAATGCATTGTTCATATCTGGTGAATCATTTAAATGCATACAATATTAGAAATACTGCAGCTCTATCAGCTGTAAAAATGACAAGAGAAGAGGAAACCATTTCAGTGGCATGATAAAATTCTTTACAATAGCTGTATTTTAACTAAAGCCTGGAAATTTTATAATATAGATACAAGAATAGCACATATGATTTCGAGAGCATGTGGCGCTCAATAAAATAAAATAAAATTTAGTGTCCACAGATGATAGGATATTGCGATATTGCAGTAGCTGACTACTTGTTATCATATGGCAAACTACAGTACGTAAAATGCAATGCAATTAGGTAGTTTTCTTTTCAATGAAGTAAGCCAAGTGAATACTGCCTCTTCATCTTGAGTAGGGTAAGGGCAACAGAAAAATGTACCTAGTACACTGTCTACTCGTATTATTACAGTATCTGATATATTGTAGGACATGGTGTAGAGACCTAACTTGTTCTATTTAATACAGTACAGTACTGCTAACATACGCGTATATATGACATATAGACAGATCGAGTCACATACTGTAGTGGTTCAAGTCGGTTAAAAAGGGTAGAAAACCATTTCCGTAATGTTCGATTGCAGTTATTTATCGATCTTATCTGACGTGATAGCTTTAGTACGTCATTTTGATAATCATATTTAGGAAGCGTACATTACTAGACTACATGCTATATAGTTTGCACAAGAATTGCCGCTCAAAATTGCAGCTATCAAGTAAGGTTACTACAATAACTATCAGAAAGATTGATAATGAAAATTGATAGCAATTACGATCAAATAAACTTACTTGCAAGCTACGAGTGGAGCCTGTTGCCTAGTTTTGACCAAATCTAACGGTTGAAATAAAATTGTGGAGCAGCAACCACTCAACGAACCAGCAACAAATGCCTTCCAAAGATAACCCTACAGGAATACAGCATGGTTGATATTCACTGTTAATAATTAGGATAGAATAAGCAATTGATGAGATCCTTCTTATTGTGTCGACATCATAACATAGTAGAAGATCAAGGCTATTTTCTCTCTACTTTTTCCTTAACTTTATGCAACATGATCACAATTGTAAATACTGTACTGTGTATTACAATTTTCATTTTTATCCAGCACGCCCTAGATCAAAAAGCGACATTCACCTTTAGCCAAGGTACAGTAGGTGGAATACAGTACACTGAGTACACTACTACTGTGCTGTACTGTAGTATGGGTCCATAAGAAGAGCGTCAAAACACAGTAGAGTTGCTGTAGTAATGCCTACCGGCGTATCGTACATCTATTGATTTACTAAAGGTCACTGGTTTTAATGACTGGTCTGTACGTTCAATCTTATCAAACATTTTCTATTACAGGCAGTTGCTGGCCATGCACCATTTTGAAGCAGTTATTACTATTACAATGAGAATATTTCCGGTAGGGAAACTTACCTTATCCATTGATGTGGAAGTCATGATGTTATTTTCAATTTTAAGGGGAAAAAAATTTTGACGAGGTATTTCTGCTTGCCAAGCTTTGCCTTTATTTTGATGTTGACAAGGATATTTTTGAAATTCTATAATTAGCTATCCCAACTTGGCAGTGGTTGGCTGTAACGACTATCTCTAGATTCGATCTAGCTACTAAACTATTGATAATGGCATAGTAAACTATCCTACCAACATTGAGCAATAAAATATGTTCGTATCCAGTGGTTAAGCCGCGGATTTCTAGTGGCGAGAAGCTGACGATCAATAATATCAATCACAGGCAGAAACTGGAAAAATCTTGCTAGTCAATGAAATTGGCTAACAGTCAGTGATACCAGCGATTATATACTGGGTATTGAAGTAGTAGCGCCAAAGATGAATGAGTGGATAGGAGGTTGAATGCGCGTACCGTCAACGTCTTCCAACGGCACAGTATAGCATTGAGAACCCCGTGGACAAAAATGCGATGTCACGCGGTGGAACACGGTTGTTATTTTCGTCTTTGTTAGTCTACTCCATCCAGCTTCACATGATGTTGGTATGATTCACTCATTGCTGGATGTTGCATTTGTTATTACCGTTGCGAACAACATCTAAGAATAGCGTGTTTGATTATGATACACGTCGGACCGGTTTCATTCAATGGTTTTAATTGCATCACCACATGTTCTTTTTCTACCAATCATAGTATTATATCGGTGTGACGTCATAAACCAGTTTGGCTAACCCTGAGCAGCTGATTTTGGGCGTCAAAAATTCGACGCTATCAAGAGTGCGTTCATCATAGTATTGCATTATTCACAAGTTTGCAGTGGACGAGCGGACTAAGTGAGTGGAGAAGGGTAGGATGGTATGCTTGGTATACAGTGTATTTGTATTAGACTGTTTTTATTTTGGATCGTAGTTATCCGTGTACAGTATGGAACTGTGTGCGGATTATTCTCTACTGTATTATTATTATTATTATCAACAGTCTATAAATAAATTGTTATTATTTATTTATTGACAACGGCTTGTACTGTACTGTACTGTACTGTATGACCATGACACAATTTTGCAACATACAGTACTGTACAGTACGGTACTTTACATAGTACAGTACTGTACGCTGACGGTACTCAACGTTTTAGTCAATCGATCGTCATTCGACTCTCGTGTCGTACGATCACCGTAGTAAAGAATAGAATATGGATGAGTGACATGAGTCGATGACACGACTGCGCTTCATACTCTACTGTGCAGTGTACACTCACTCAGTGTACGGAAACGCTTCAAAATGAATGATGTGTATCCACGACTGCGCTTCATTCTATGCTGTGTACACTCACTCAGTGTATAGTACAGAAACGCTTCCAAATGAATGATGTGTGTGTATCAGTCGATGACACGACTGCGCTTCATACTCTACTGTACAGTACACTCACTCAGGGTACAGAAACGCTTCAAAATGAATGATGTGTATCAGTCGATGACACCACTGCGCTTCATTCTATACTGTGTACAGTACAGAAACGCTTCAAAATGAATGATGTGTATCAGTCGATGACACGACTGCGCTTCATACGTAACTGTGTACACTGGACAACCACGTCCATACTGCGGTTGCGTTTTTACTCCATCGTCACTCAGGCCATTCATCCCGCCCTTGATCCAATTCTAAGACAAGATGCTTCGCTAAATACCATGGAGTAGACCTGAACAAGGAATTGATTTTCAATTTCTGGCTACAATTCCTACAAGATGGCCTAACAGCTATCACCGGCGTCAAGGATAATAGCCAAGCATGCCACAATAGCTTTGCAAAATTGAAGATCATTCCTAAAATGACCGAGATAAATAGAAATAATTTCTATAAACACAAATGAAATAATTTGATAATTTATGATATTAAGGGCAACGACCTGCAAAGTCAATACCAGGACACTTGGATGCATGTTGACTGAATGCGTTGTCTATCGGTTTGTAATAGGATAATTTATCCGACTGATATCCATGAAATATTGTAGCATTATTTCCAGCCTTGGGCCAACTGTGTCAACAAATTCATTTTGTACAATCAGGCTTTGAAGTCAATCTGGATGGACGTGTACACTCAGTATACTATACTATAGTAGAAGGTCAGAAAGGAGAGCTGCTACTACATGTAGTCAAATTATGCAATCAGAATATCCCGCTGTACAGTGATCAAGCCCATACAGTCTATGATACTATTCAATTGGGGAAGGATAGTGTTTTGATGATCAAAAATGAACATGAAAGCAGGCATTATTTTTCAAGAGGTGTAGGTACATAAAGTGCATCTTGCTTTGAATACCGACAACACACCGCGGGTGTTCATCATCTTGATTCGACTGTGCATAGGATGGCGCTGTCATCAAATGTTTTCCAAATATGAAAACAACAACGATTGTAAAACTTCACTGTACAGTATTACATAAAATTGCCTTCATCAAACCATATTCTGTCAGCGACTTTGGAACATTCTACGTACGTATACAGTATTAGATCGCTGCTAAAATTTCAACTCTTGCATATCAGCAACAACCACACACTGCACCTGTGGAATAGGCAAAATTCTCTCTTCAAACTACTGCCTTTGCCAATCGCCAGTAAAGTAGAGTATAGCCAAAACAATGAATACAAATCGCTCCTACAGATTATGAATGGATAAATTACTTGTCTTGTACGAACTGAAATAAAACCCTCTTGTACAACTATAATTAATTCCTAACTCGACAACGACTAAACCCTATACTGTAATGGCGTCTTCCCTTCATAGACAAAGACATAACATATGAGTGTATATAGGTATAGTTGCATAGGAGCTCTTAAGCGTGCTACGGTTGGCAAATTTCTCGCTTTCATTTCTTAATCTACAAGACAATATTTGAGACTAAAACAAATAAATAACTTGGTCTTGTTTTTTCCTCACTAGTAATAAAAATAATAATATTTTCGACAAAAGAAATGACTAATAATCATAATGAATTAATTATAAATTTATTATTGTTCAAGTTTAAAAACTCAGTACTTTGATCCAGTAGCTACAACAAGAAAGAAAGAACATGCCGCCAAGTTGAGAATGAACTAAGGTCGTGAATGATCAACAAAGGCAGCAAAGGATGATTGATCGATCATTCATATTATGATACTTAACTTGCCGTAAAATTAGTTGCAGTAGGTAATTAACGACAGCTCTTAGGACCCAATATCTTTCTCGCTTTTTATTACAATTATTGCATTGAATTGACTTAAAATTGGATACCGTTACACATATTTAAAAGTCAGATGTAGGCTTTAATTCTTATATTACAAGTCATATCTTTATTCCTGTGCTCCAATTCTTATTAATAGTAGAGCTACAGATTGATCATTCACTCAAGTCATAGATCAAGATTTTAAAGCGAAGGTTGAATGACCTTCTTAGTAGTAATTAAACACCAAGACTAAAGTATATTTAGCTAATAACAGGAAGGAAAAGTTCAACGATTAAGAATAGAGTAGTCCTGTACAAGCGATAAGAGCTTATTTATGTACATCATTTTCTAAATTGTTGACTATTATCCGCAATTAGTTATGCATAGTATTCAGCAAAAAATCAAGTACGGTACTGCCAATATATTGCAGTAATTTTTTGCAATTAATTTTAAATTTATGATTTGATGGAGTAGCGAATAGACGATAAATTAGAGCATTGTTTCAGCGATTCTTAATAAAGTGGGTTTGATATCCTAATAAAATAAAAATGGTACCCTAGGCCTTAACCTAGTTCAGCCACAGCGGTTAGTATAAATTCAAAGCTCGTAAAACCAGTTTCTTCGTCACTCATTAACGGATCAATGAATATTTTCGATTGTTTATTTTTTTTCTATGGTAACATAGAAAGTATAATCGTAAACGCAATAAAACATTAATACGCTTACTGTTTACTATTTCTCCAATTCAGTGATAAACAAGACTGCGTTATCGCACGCTAGCATACCAGTTAAAAGGTAAAAGGAAGTTCACATGATATATTATTAACACGATAATTAATTACGGCAGGATGCTACTGTACCTTTTTATATCAAAACACAAATCTGATTACAAGCTTAAGAGAGAATGTTGTAGTTTAGGTGTTTACTGTCCATGTGTTCATCCAATCAATCTTTAATCAACAATGATACGCCATTTTAAAATAATTATTGATGTATTGACTATCTAAAAATAGCTCATGGATAATAAAGCTTTATGTAAAAGTCTTGTAAAATAGATGAATGCAAGCCGAAGTTTTATTATGAATTACCTTATCATGACGATAATCGGAATTGATAGAAAGCAATTACGATAGTTTACAATGAGTTAGTACAATTCATTAGAAGTAATGTTTTGACTAATAGCTGTCATAAATATAGTATTGAACACAAGATATTTAATTTTTATTGATTTAAACAGTAACAAAACCTTCATTATAATGGTATTTTAACTAGGCTTGTCAATCCTGGAAAAAGTTTTCCTTATATAAAATCAAGTAACATAAGTGATCATTCACGATCCATTTAGTTGGGTTTTACATTGCTTCTCCTATTCAGAAATTCATTATATAGGATTATGCACTCGTATAGACTAGTACGGCTATCTTTCATACAAACTACACATTAAAGTAAATATATTGACAACATACTGACTAAAAATTTTTCCCTAAATGGCGTTTCCAGCCTGATGACATCAGTACACATCATATGTAGCATATAAGCATATGTTGTATATTTTATTACAAAATTTGACGCAATCTATGACGACATTGTTAATGAAATTAAGTCAATTTTGCAAATCTACTAACTGAGGGCACTTTCCCAGCGTATCCAAGGATAATCACGAATATCGAAGGGACAAGCTAAAAAATTATGATTGTTTATCGGACCATGATTAATTATGGACGTGTAAGGGCTTGATTTAATATATGTTGAAACACTAAATTATGCTACAACAGATTATTTACTTCCTACGGCATACTATGCGAATGTAGTTAGTCTTATGTTATAATGCAGGATACCAATACGTGATAAACTGTTTGATAAATAACATACTATTAATAGCACTGAATAAGCAGATATTATATACAATGCATCTTGATATTTCACCATTTGTTAATCTATTAATACCAGTTATACAACATTGCATGACTTCATAAGGAATTTAAACAGCCTGTTGATAGGCGATGATTTTAATGAAAGCTCAAACAAGTAAAGTATTGTGATACAATCATCTACTGTAAGATGCCACTTGAGGTTTATATCATAGCCGTAATAGATAATTCACTATTGATAATTTTCGATGATTAACATTTTCAATCACACAAAGTAACATTATAGATACCAAATAAATTGCCATCATTGTTATACCATCTTGAATATTTAGAATGAGCCACTCACTTTCGGAAGCTACTGTAAATAAAATTTCAATGTACTGTATTGAGTGGTAATTTAAAATAGCGGTGAATGTTTATTCCTTAGATGTTAATTGGGTACAACCTCAATGTCCTCGGTGATTAAATCTAGTTTCGTCTTATGCTATCCTATAGCTATGTATCTTAATACCGCTAAATTTCTCTATATACAAGTACACAAATAGTCTTTATGACAATTGAACTATAAATTTTTTGTTTGTTTATTAAGGCAAGCAAACGCCTGCAGCTATCAACAATGTTTGAAAAATTAATCTATTCATGACAGTTTTAAATCCAATTATTAATTGTACTATAAGCCAGTGACAGCTGTAGATCTGATTGACTTATTTCGAACTTTACAATCAGTACAAACGACTCACAAATAATGACATTTAGTTATGAGAAGTACCATATTTATTTGACTCCATTAAAATAGATATATGATATAAAGTACTTGCCAATAGATGTTTCTACTCATAACAGTTACCATCACTCGAAATAAAACAACTATAGTCTAGACAAATATTTGTTGTAGTTTAATATAATAATAACGCAAAATTATTGCTTGAGGTCTTGATAAAACTTTGCAATTGTCAATTACAGTGTATTTCTGACAAATAATTATACAAGACAAATCATATAGCACGCCGGAGAAATAGCGAATCTGCTCTCAAACAAATAAAACTTTATTCTGAAAACACGTATGTAAACGCTGTACATTCATATATAGAAATAAACTATAAAGTACGTCAGTATATGCAAATGTTACAAATAATTTCGCAGCAAATTAGCGTTTAAAGTAGTTTCAGCGTCTATAGCAATTCGAGATTTGTATTACTAAATGATTTAGCTAAATCAGCGTAATCTCGAACTAGTATTGCATCAATAATTGACTATGGCTGCAAAACACGAGCCAACGGAACACTGTACAAAAGTTTAGCTTTATTCCGTCCGCTTATATAGCAAGCGGTTTCGCCAATCCATCGCATATCCTTCCAATTTGCTTCTAAAGACTACAATTTTCATCGGATACCGAGTTAAAAATATCAAAAGACAAGTATCTTATTAGAAAAATTCGAAAAGGTAATTTATGGTTAGATTTGATAGAGTAAAAAATACTTTTTGCTTCATTAAACTACTGCAATCTTATCAACTATTACCTCTGTTAAGTTGACAATCTCCTGATATTGTTTCTTAGCCAACATAGTTTCTGATTGTGTTATTGCCTAATAAGTGAATAAGATTTGATAGGAAATTCTAAGTATTCTTTAATATCAGTATAATTGATAGATCACATTCGTTTTAAAGTAATCAAGAATAAAAGTTTGATGCTACGTTTAGAAGCAGCTCCAAACTTTACTATTACTTGAAATATAGTAAATATGGCATAATAACAAAAAAGAAAAGTATAATCCTAAATAAGATTCTTTATTAACATCAAATTGAAGGATATCCCATCATTATTAACATAAGTACCTCTCTCTCAGCCCTCTTTGCCATATTTTCTAGAACATTTAGAATAAGTGAAAGCCAACAATATGACTGGACTATTTCCGGTTCATACATGTACAAACAAGCTAAAGTATAATAACCGTCGTAAGTATACATTCCATCAATAACATAAACAGCAGTCGGACAGCAATATCATCGCTAAATGCACTACTAAAGTATCACAAAATATTGATAGTCTGATAGCAATATTCATGCTCTATTTATACTTGCCTAATTCAAAATGCGTTATAGGAAGGAAGTAATACCCATTAGCCGTTATAGAATTAGCATCATTTTTTATACAGTTGATAGAATCAGCGGATGGATGAATCAATATAAAAGTGACATTTTCATTTAATTCCACAACTTTACAGTTCATTAAGAGATAGTGATCATATTTTTTCTATATCAATAAATAATAGAAATTAATTATTATTGCCTGATCAAATATATAAAGTGTGATATTGTCTATGTAAATGCTTACCTCCTCAGGATCTAATCGCCACAGTAATTTTCTAGCGGCACTACGCAATGCTTTTTGAAAATTTAACAAGCTACCATTTCGAGAGTCCGCAACCTAATTATAAAACGATTAAGAAACGTTATTCCCACGTCAAAATCTCATATGATTTTGAATATTATCAAACTATGGAAACTATTATACCATATCTTAAGTTAAAAATACCTACTTTTGTTTCTTTCACCTTTTTACCATCTACATTTTGTAACCATTCAATCTCTTGTCTATAAATGTATAATGCATTGTATTTAAAATTATTAGATATTTGCTCAGGTCGGCGCAATTCAGATTCAAAGACTATCGACGCAAATATTAACTATAAAATTTGAACTGTAATGTATTAACAGGAATACTACTGTGCATTCCATTTATTATAAATTTCATAAAAAATTTAATCAATTCGCCAACCTTCCAATAATAGGATTGTCTCTTATTTTTTCAAATGGTAAAGTATTTGGCGAACTGGCATCCGTCATGACAGCAATATCATTTATTGTGCAACGTAACTTCACATAACCCAAGTATAATCCCCTAATTTTGTATTTAAAAATTAAGATAAAAGCCTATCAAAATTTAGACATTACTATGTAACTAAGTAATGATCCAGTAATAATTTTAGTATGATAAATGTAGTATACATTGAACGTAGTTGCAGTTACACTATTACAGCTTGGCAATTAAATTTCAAGATACCTCGAAAAAGTAACGCAAGATTTGGCGTGATATTCTATCAACTCATTTGTTCTTGTCATTAATACTTCGCTAACGTTTGTCTGATCTAATGAAGAACTCGTCAATCTACGTCCTATTTTATTAGTAGAAATCCATTTAAACGACATTCCTGTATGGAGTGCATTGGGACTCTATTAAGCAAGGACATAAATATTATTATGATGATAACCTGGCAATAAACAATATTTAAACAAATTATCTAACCTCAATTTCATTAATCAAACAGAAAATTACGGATTTTTGCCCACCACGAATAGGCTCGTGATACAATTTTCCTAAATCACTGATGCAGAAGGCTTGCTGATGAACAATTACCAATCATAGTGCAAAAGTTAGTCATCCCGTATTACCTTTATATCATTTATCCTTATAGAAGTTACCTGATAAGCTGTAACGGACTGTAAAATTTTTTTCCTTATTAAATTACTTGTAGTGGACATACAGTAATCCATATTTTCTAGCATCTTTCGAGCTTTATCCCATGCAAATGTCAACTGATTATCGGATAGTAATAATAAATTTTAGTTCGTCTTTATTAAAAAATAAAATTGAATAATTGGATAAGCATTCATATATATGATTCAGTAATTTAAGAATATACCTTGCTAAACCAAGCCATTTCTTGTTGAGTAATATTAAAGCAGCTGTCATCAATTTCAATAACAGGTATGATAAGGTCATCCGCGGAAACTAAGATTTTTCCATTTGGCGTGTAGAATAAAACACTCAAATAAATAGCTCTAATAACAAAAGAAAATTGGATAGATTTAAAGACATTACCATCTATAGCAGGTATTGAACCAATTCAATTAGTAGCTTATTAAAATATTAATATAAAAAACCCACTAAATGAACGCAATCAATATAGCTCCTGAAAATCCACTGTAAAACTACTGTTCGAATTTTCTAGCATAATTTCTTTCGTACTTGCGACACGGTAATAGCATTTTATGATTATCTCTCATTTTGAAATAATATATAAACTTTCGTACCGTTTTAAGTGCTTGGAAAGTTTCAAAGATGGCAAAAAAAATTTCTGTAAAGTGCTTGATCGACGTCTCGCGTATCGTACTGGCTCGTTGACTTCGTTTGCTATTGAATTCACATTAAACCAAAACGTCAATTTTTATTAAATTATATGTTGCAATCATTTACTATTTTCTTAGGCGATTCAAGAGTGGAGTATAGTGTAAGTGAACTACAATATTACATACTGTATACACAGTTAATCTTTATATAAGAGGTGGCATAGAAATGATAACTCAATCATTTAGTACTGGACTAATTTGAAAACAAATCAATACAGTACTTGTAGATAGGCTGATATGATAAATAAGTAGGCATTACTTTTGGTATAAAGATTGCATTATTCTCATGTTTAGGCTGACGTATTCCAAATAAGAATACATGCTAATACCACACAAAAATCCATATTCGATCAGTTTATTTTATTAACAAGACGATATTACCTCTAATGTTATCTTTAAGAGCACTTTCTATTCTACAAATATCCTCGGCGACAATATTTTGCAAGGATTTTACGCAAGCAGATTTCCTAGTCTGATAGCTTTCACTGTAATTGTACCAGTCTGTAATAATTGTAAAAAGTAAACTATTATAAAATTTAAAAATAAAATTTTATAAATTCCGAGTTATGGTAGTTATGATTAAAAAAAATCAAAGGTGTTACTTACTTTTGGAAGATATGAACTCCGGATTAGATAACTTAGGTTGTCCATAGCCGCTCATATTATAGGCAGACACCCGTACATAACATGGATGTTTCTGAATAAATAGAAAGTTTTTGGTAAATAACTGTGTATCTGGTATAAAATAATCCAAGCTCCTAACTTGCCTGTACTACATTCATTAAATGATGCTCTGGCTTCTCATTATAAGCAATTATTTTCTCACCACTAATTGGAACAAACGAGGAATTACGACTCCATTCAACTGATTAAAAAGAAAAGAATTAAAATAAATATTGAAATGCATAATTATTGAATTTTTGAACCGTAGCAAAATTCTTATTTACTTTTGTAATTTGTTATCATTGAACCATTATCGACTGATGAAGGGACGTATTTAATTATAATGGTTGTAGATGATCTAGTTTTTAGCAAAACCTCCATTGGTGGCTCAGGAAGATCTATTAGTGAGATCAATATTTTACATTAATTAAAGCAACAAATATTCTGTGAATGTTGACAACTTGTTCAAATTGTTAGAATTAAACCTTTATCATAATACACTTCCGTATAACGAACAATTAACAATAATTCTATTAAGTTACGAGAAGAAAAGCTGGTTAATTTATAAGAATTTATGATAGGGCTTTCTATACTTACTTGCACAATCAATAGATTGTATCATTTTAGTAACTAATTCTTTTTTTAGTTTCCACCCTTTAGCATCTAAAAGCTTATCGTTACCATCCTATAGCGTGTGTAAAAAGTGAAATGTAGTTGAAAGTGATATCATTAATTTTTAAATAAACTGCTAATCATCACTACAAATGCTGTAGAGCAGAAGCATAAAATAACATAATGGTTTTGATCACGAATACCAAGCAAAAGATATTTCAAAATTCATGTAACTTGATAAATAGTTTTATCATCAATTTATCCATTATGGCGCGCAATCAATTTCGAACCTTGGTTAAATTTTCAGCACCTTCGACATTATGGGCAGATATTTCCTTTAATTTGCTGCTAATTTCACCATCCAATTGTTTCAGCTGTTTTAATCTTGCATAGGGATCTTTCACAACTGTTTCAATTTTAATAGGATAAGAAACTTTCAGTCCTTTTATTACATTTTATAAAAGATGATGGCCACATTTTGATAGGTAAGAATAATGATGGCTAGTACATAGAATACTGTTACGTTATGATAGACTAGGACTAGCTAACTTTATTTCTTTTAGAACTACCAGCGAAAATTATCGTTATATGTATTCCATGTGTTAAATTATTTACTACAGAAAATTATGTGACTAGGTATGTTTATTCTCTTATTTGACGACTAAACTATATGACATATTTACATTAGAATTCTTATGCGCAATACTTGGTTAAAAGTCTATTTTCAAAATTCGATAGCAAGTAATATTATTGTCGCTATTTAGAATTATGTGGTAGTTATGACTATGATTATATGATGGCAATAACAGTTATGAGGAAATATTGATGCCTTTACTTAATATATAAGATCGAATAATAGGTTGCAAGATAAATGCTGGATAGAGCATTTATTATGCTTTCTACTTACGAGCTTTGTTCTCTTCTGCAGCATTCAATACCAATAATTGTATCATTGTCTGATTATTTAACATGATAGCAATATCAAGAGGAGTTAACTGACCGAAATATTGTCTGAAAGATGACAGAATTACGAAATATCGTTAAATACAGCAACTTTTCATTGAATTAAATTAACATTATCAACAGCAAATTGAAAATGAAAGTACAAATTCCGTGAAATCATATAGACAGGAACAAAGTACATTTATAATCTATAACAGAAGGCTTACTGGTTGATATCAACGTCATCTGCTTTCAGTATTTCTCTAAGTTCAGCCTCGTTATTATCACAGATGCATTTAACTAAATCTAATCAACGAGAAAACAACGTAATATTTGAGAGAAATCCATAAAGGAAAAATACAGCTTGTTTACGTACTAGCTTTGATTTACACGCAGTTTAGGCTAGTACAGTTTTCTATATTGAACAAAACGAATGTTGTGATGTTTAAGATGACTAGATATTTTATGAAATTACTAGTAAAAATCTCAGGGTAATAAATTCCAAAAGCAAAAAACTTTATAAGCATGGTTTAAAGCGAGAAAGGAAATTTAGATAAAATATTGCTTAGGTAGTCAACAAGAATCTAGGTGTATAAACATTCTTTACAATAAAGTCAATCTAGATGAAATAAATGGCAGTATAGCCATATTTTACCTTGAATAGTATGCATCTGTTCCTCATCTTCTTCTACATAGTGCAAGAATTAAAAATGATGTAGAAAATGAGCACTTATGAGACCCAATAAAAATAACTTATTCATATAAGGAATAAGATAAATTTGACCATAAACGACCATCGCTTTGTTGGGTAATATTAAATAAATAAATCACGTAAAGAAGGATGACTTGTGTTACTTACACATTTACTGGTACTAATAACTACTGTATCTGTTACATCCATAAAATAATACGAATGGATGTCATTCATATTATAAAATTACTTTGCTATAAAACAGTTATGGGTAAAGATAAAGATTTATTGAGCTATAACTATAACAATGAAATAATCTTTCTGGGGAATTAAGCGGTTAAAATTAATGTTTAAATTATACAAAGATGCTTTTATAATTTTAGGAAAATATTTCAGATTTTAAAACTATATAAAGTATAAATAAAAAATTTGGAAGATTTACTTTTGTCTACAGACTTATTATAGAGCATACATAGAGATGCAAGAAAACGCTTTCTCATTTCTAACTATACGTCACTGTGGAGACAATCAACGATACTAGTGCAGCTATTTATAACTACGAATAGTTACTTACCATCCCAAGTATCAGGTCCTGCCCGATTTGGTCGTTTTTTAGCGCCTGATAAACGCCGGCTACCTAAAGCGTTATTCAACCCTAGCCATGCCTTTTTACAAGACCAAGTATGGCGTCGTTGTAGTTTTCTTTCGTTTCTATCATTATTTCCATGATTATCGCCATTTTTGATCACAACAGCCATCCTCATCACTTACTTGACTTATGGCCTGGGGTTTTCGGTCAAAGAAACGATAGTTCATTTAAAATTTTGCGAAATTTTAAAAATTCGTTCAATAGTTGATCGGTATAAATTTCGATAGCTAAGACGAAGTGGCAAACAAGATTTTAGGCCTACCTGATACTTAAATATGAATATTCTTTGTACTGCAATACCAATAGTGACAGCTTAAGAATAATGCCCCCAAATATTGGTTAACTTTCGTAATGGTGCAGTGATCGCTTTTCTTCTGCAGCTTCTAATATCTAATCTATACATTAAGCAAATGAGTAAATATGCATCTAAACAGTAGATGAACTTCTTGACAATGTTTTACATAAATCTTACGCTACGATTTAGTATCAAGACTTTTACAGGGATTACTGTTAACTTACAGATACAATAATTATACGTAGAAGAAAACTGAAGAGAATGGCAATCAGTAGCAAATGTAATAAAAATAATATAAATTAATAGCGAAGACACTCATATGACGAAAGATTGAATCAATAGCAATAAGGAAATAACATCTCATACTATTTAAGAAATGCATTGAAGGGTTATAAAAATGATATTAAGGAGAAAAAAATAAAAAGGAAGAAAGAAAACATGATTGTAGGGGATTATACCTGCTTTTTGTATTGGCTTTAAAATAACATGTACGGTTATAACCATACTAAATATTGCTTTCATAACTTTTACCAAATGCTATCTAGCTATGATAATAATTTATATTTGTCCTGGATATATCATGACCGATGCTTTCATTTGCTTTCAAATTAGCTGACATTGCTGTCATTACTGCCTTTATAATTCAATTCTCTAGGGTTATAAATAAATATAATATCTGCCTTTCTTTCTGATTCCAGGTAATTATGATTATTGTAAGACAAAAGTAATATCATGAAAACAAGTCATAAATAATATTTACTATCTTTTACACTAGTACCGTATACGATATCGCACTTGCCATAGTAGTTCATTTTTATCCTGTCAATGTAACATTATTACTTATTGGCTGGCCGTTATTCTATTATTATTATACGATTACTTCATTTATTGACGTCAATATGACGACCAATAGGTAAAATTACTTTACATCATATCTAAAGTGATAAGCAATCAAAGAAATGGAAACAAGTGAATGAAGAATGATAAAATGCATTTCACTTTAAAGACATTGATACATCTATATCTATTATTAAATTACATCAATAGAGAAGTCTGCATTTTAATTGATTATAATCCATAAATATCTGGACAATGTCGACTTAAATAATGATGATAATAGATCGATATTAGTCTTATGTTTTTTTGTTTTATCTGTTGTTGATTATAACTTCTCGTTTATTCCAGGATAATGGTGCTATACATCTGTCCATTAAAGCCAACAAACATTGCGAGAAAATATATATCACCTCATGATCGTTTCGATTCCCGATAATCTTGACGATTGAATTTTAAAAATAGCCATAATACCGGCTTACACATTAGGCTATAGATCAATTATTATCATAGTACTAGCTCATTACGTAAAAGTTACATGGAAAAATATTGCATAAATAGTAAAGCTAAAGAAGTATTGTTTTACACTATAGTATGTCTGTTTTAATTAGACGTATAGAAAAAGATTATGTATTATATTGTATCTATGAAAATAAAACCTAATTTGATAGTTATACTTTTCAGTAACAACTTCTCTACTAAAGCACTGTAAGCAATTAAAGAAGGAATTTAACCAATTTTGCTGGTAACTTGTACTGCGATATTTCCTATGATTATAAAGTATGCACTACTTCATGTTAACCTTCTGATAAAATAAGATATTACATTTCCTGCTAACAATCATATTATAGAGTATAATCCATTAATTTCTTTAATCAATCCATTTAAAAGCTGTTATTAATATGAATAACCATATCGAAAACAGTAAGACTCACGAGAAAAAATACTACCGGTACTTGTAAGTGTTAACAAATAGAGAAAACTATAGGTAGCTATTCGAGTAGGTATTCAATTAATTGCTTGTGCATTGCTAATGAGATTGTTATTATCAATTGAATTTGACTAATAATCAAACTAGTAAATAAAAATTACGTTGACAATTGTTACCGGTATTTTGCTAAATGCCAAAAAAACATAAATGAAGGAAAACTTGTCATGTTCATCTCGAGACATTACAACGTTCAAGGAGATACAGTACGATATTTTAATTGAAATAGCAAGACTTCGTAAGATTGGATCTGATTCTATGTTAAATATTGTAATTGCTAAGGGCAGAAAGCCAAAAGAGAATTATTTAAGTAATTATGCAACCTTAAATTAAGCTATTCTAAAATTTTTAGATACATTATAGCTAATCAGAAATACTTATGCTACCAAGTATAAGTACACGACCATCTCAATCGATTAATTACAGTAAGCCACGAGCATTAAAAATATATAATTTCCTAGTCATTATCGAATCCTACTAGTTAAAAAGCTGATTGTATATCATAGAAATAGATGTTATTATTAATTAAGGGAAATTAGTGAAACAATAGCCAAGAATTAAATTAAATTATTAAGTAATCAGTAAATTACGTTAAATTTATAGAAAAGCTAAACTTCAATTATAGTTCAATGCACTCGGATACGATTTTTTTAACCCTAACTTTTCTGTCTACGCAACAAATCGAACTGTTTATAAGATTTAGTCGCATGGACACGGATAAATATACAACATTATTACGTCAACTGTTAAGCCTTATCTTTATGCATAGTTTACACAGAAAATTTGGAATAAGAATTGGTTACAAGAATTTTAATTACGTTGTCTATTTGTGACTTTAATCATATAGAAAATTAACATATTATCCTACTTACAGTAAACTGAATTTAGTATTACCCTAACAGTGACGTATAGAAGGCCACTGCTTACAAATGGAGATATAAGAAAAGGTTGTCAAAACTACATGATCCCATTCTATTTACATTGTATTCAATTAACTTCTAATTGAAGCTACTAAGAAATACTTGAATGAAAAATTTTGTAAAAACAAGGAATTTAATGACATCGCGAATAATAGCAATTTCTAGTTTGTGATAAGGTCATCGGCCTATATTGACTTAATCGAAAGCTAAAGTTAACGTCATTATTATCCCACTCGCTAGCTAATATATATTATGTAATGATGTAAAATCAAAAAGACAGATGGAATCTATTCTATTGGCTTAATTTTGCATCTATTGTTGACAAAATAGTTAAATTCCATTCTTGGCAGATATTACTAATAGTTCGAGTCTACCTATGATATTACGTCTCACAGCCGTAAATATTCTCGTAGACCATTGAAACATATGTACATTTGTATCGCATACAGTTGTTAAAATTCCGATTATAAATTATTATTGTACCATCATTGCTAACAAAAAAAATCAGCCATGGCCATAGTTCCCATTAGCTGATTTCATCGTCTAGTTCCGTTTAAATGATCGAATATTAATAACAATAACGTTCGCCTAAGTTATTGAATTATGATATGATTATAGAGAGGCGTTATTATATACCAGCCATAATAGGATTTGAGTATGCTCGTATATTGGTTTACGTATTATGATCCAAGCTGTTCCACAATGGTTGTTGCGCTCTATGCAGACGTTTACTCAACATAAATGTATAGTAAGAGTAAACTTATGTAAAAAAAACAATTTATTCTATAGAAAATGGACTATACAGTAATACAATTGGCGAGACTGTCTAGACTCTTATCCTACCATAAAGGTAAAATGTAACCTTTTTATTACTCTAAAGGATTACATCATGAATTTCTAAAGCCTACGTGAGATTTAGTACTGTAGTCCATGGTTACACATATGGCTCTGTGCGTGGATTGCCAAATTGAAGGATACAGTTAAGAGGAAAGGTAGAAATAAATATGCTAATCTTATTTAGTTTTTCAATCTTGAGTGCAATAAACACATTAAATTGTGATTGAAAGGGATCATGCATCTGCCTTGTAAGGATAGTGTATTTATATGCATATGTTTATATGCGTATTAAATTACTAAGAAGAATTCTTAATTTCATTTGAATTCATTGCAGTGGTGTACAGTATAGTGCACGCATGAAATCGCTATTACAAAATTGTTATTAAATCATATGAATGCAGCATCGATTAGCTGATATGCGATAGAAATTAACTCCAGTATTTAAAATTTTACAGATATTTCTACGAAAGTTTTTCCATCAGGTGAAAAGTTGCCTTGCTCTATGTTAAACGTTCCAAGATATTCATAGTTATCAAGGAATAGATACAGTATTTCAAAGTCAAAGTCAAGCTACGATTTAAGATAAATATTACTGCTCTAATGAAATAGAAAAGGGTGATTATTAGGGTTATGAAGAACTAAGGCTTGACCGCAATTTAGTGCCTTTTAACAATTACTATAAATATACATTTAACATTCGCAGTTTTTTGAGTTCTAATGCCGTTCTAGAAAGTGTCTTTTGATTACGATGCTGCTATAAGGAAAGTCTATGGTCGTGCTTTACTGCAAATCTAACCCACAACGAGATTAATAATAGAACAGGTCCTATTCTAAACTACTCATCTAAGAGTCAAGTATATGCTTTACAGGGTTTGACTAGTGGTAAAACTTTACCAAATTCTTCAACTAATACTCTCATCTCATTCATTTATCAAAAAGATGAGAGAAACTGTAAGAGTAATGCACACAAATGTTGCAAGATCATGGTATGGCAAGATCGTACTTAGTGATGCCCATGAGTGAGAACGATAAGACAGGCAGATTAAGTGCCAATCATCATTCAAACGCTGCATAAAATATGTACCTCACAAGATAGAAAGAGAAATTGTATATTTGGAATTTTAATTTGTCTTAACAACTGCATCTACCCTCAGTGCCAACTGGTCATACAGAGTTGAATTTATTATCGGAGTATTGTACCAGAAAAATTAGTTTCTGTATAGAATAACAGATAA